AAAACATGTTTGTACGATTCAAAAGCGTTGTACTATACATCCAATTTGAATAAATACTCACAAACTTTCGCCTTTATAATATTAGTGTGATAGTGTAATTCCATCGATCCGATTTTCCTAGCTAAACCTCTTTCAATTGGTCTTGGAATATCAAGTGTGCCAGAAGCTGATTTTACCGCAACTAGTACTTGTGGTTCTCCGCAAAATTTCACATTCCTTTTATTTGCGAACTGATTGTTCTAGGTGTAAGCATGTTGGATCGAAAGTGAGAGCTGGCCCGCGCCGCCGACAGAGCCGGCGTTGACCGCTACATGTTATATCACGTCACATGTCCGAGTCAGTTTGTGCCATGGTCAATGATATGTTAATTCCGTGTTGTAATCGACGACATTATGATAAAACCAGTTTGATTTTATGAAGCTGAGATATTTATATATTTCCACGACCGAAATTGTATACTAATTTATAAAGCCGAAAGTTTGTGAGTATTTATTCAAATTGAATGTACAGTACAACTCTTTTGAATCGTCCAAACATTTTTTTCCCCTACCACTCGTTTTTGGACATATTTTTTAGCTGCTGAGAAAAACGAGCGAAAAAATCTCCACAACATTAAAAGTATAATGTAACATCATTTACAAATGATTATGTTGTTACAACGTCAATACAATCATGATTTATTTAATATAGAAAACCTGTTGGAATGTTAGGAACAGTTCAAACCCCAAGCATTTTTGTCTGTAATATAATCAGACACTTTGTAATAAGCTTAATTAATAAGTGCTTTTTTTATACTATCTTTGAATTTATTTATGGTTAACTCTTGGATATTGCTTGGGACTTTATTGTATAAGCGAACACAAAGACCTTTAAATGAATTATTGATTTTCCTTATTCTGCTGTTGTTTGAAATTTAGTGAAGCTGAAAAGCATGTTATAGGTTCCCGCAATGAACGATAACTAAAATATATATGGTGTATATGTGTAAGTTAGAGCAGTTGGATGAAAATTCGATGGCTAAACAAGGGTAGTTTTTAAAGCCAGTGACATCATAATGGTGGTTGTCTGGCGTCTGACGGACTGGGCACGGGGCGGCCGCGCCTCCTCAGACCAAGGTTAAAGATGTGACTCAAACGCGCCCATCAAATAGAAACCTAATATGAAAAATAATGAATTCGCAGATTTCTTGCTCGTACAATTCTTAGTAAAAATCTTAGTAGTTATACCTACTTGTAATAATCTTAAAAATATATAGAAATTGGTATGCTTCCGTTTAGATATAAAATTATAACAATTTTTAAATATGTATTTATACTACATATATAATGAATAAGGAGCTCGATGGCGCAAGTGGTTAGCGCGTTCGGCTGCGATCGTTGAACTTAAGCAACTTTCGCAGTGGTCGGTCATTGGATGGGTGATCAAAAATTAATCTCGAGTGCTTCGGAAGGCACGTTAAGCCGTTGGTCCCGGCTGCATCTGCAGTTGTTAGCACCCACCAATCCGCACTGGGCCCGCGTGGTGGGTCATGGCCCAATCTCCCTATTCCATCCATAGGGAAGGCCTGTGCCCCAGCACTGGGGACATTAATAGGCTGATGATGTTGATGATGATATAAATAATAACTATTCAGAGTTATTTTGGAACAAAGTTCCTTTTCGGACGGGCTAGGTGAAAAAAATATCAGATTTTTCCGTCACAACTTAGCTAGATAGGTTGGTGGGTAGCTATAGGTAGACCGCTTAATGAGTCTTCGCCTGCGAGGTTTATGGTGTGGGGGAGGACGAGAACGGGGACCGTGAGAGGTGCGGGCGGCAGGAAAATTCTTGTCAAAATTACAAGCGCCTGCAGTTCTACCCCACACCCTTTACCCCACAGGCGAGGACTCAGTTAAGCGGTCTACCTATATGTGGGGAAGCCAGGTGGGCGACCACTGACGGAGGTGGCTGACGACTTGGAAGTTTGACGGAATTGGGGATCGGGTCATGACAATTGGCCGCAGTGCGGATTGGTGGGTGGGTGGTATATAAATATTTTTAACTTCGTCCCAACCGAGTGTTACACGACACTCACACATTATTTTATATCTATATATATAAAACTCAAAGGTCACTGACTGACTGACATAGTGATCCATCAACGCACAGCCCAATCCACTGGACTGATCGGGCTGAAATTTGGCATGCGGGTGCAGGTGGTATGACGTAGGCATCTGCTAAGAAAGGATTTTGATCAATTCTACTCCCAAGGCGATAAAATAGGGAACGAAAGTTTGTATGAAACTTTGTCAATTTTAAACAGATCGGGCTGAGACTTTGCATGCAGGTATAAGAAGAATCATAGCAAAAAAAGATATAAGAAGAATCATAGATGAATGTGATTGTGTATAATACAAGCCTAAGAACAAAAACTGTAGTCTACACTTCAGCTCTACACCGAAGCGAAGCGAGGGCGGGCCGTTAGTTGTACTCATATAAGTATGTGCTTTTACTATATGAAGTTTTGATCAGAAAATAATTAAGTTAGTTAGGACCCTACCTAATATATTTGTTTCTTAGTTTTATATATTGTGCTAAGATAAATAATATAATACATAAAAAAAGTTATATATTCTAGATCCCCGCGTCTGAATTGGATTACTTAAAGAGTCCGTATAAAATCTAAGTTACGTAAAACCAAATCCAGCCATCCGGCGATTTATTTCAGGCTTTTGAGTTACGTCATTATAACCTACCCATATTGAGTGCGTCATCAAAGAAATTGGATGGTATTTTGTTTCTAGATCGTCATAAAAGATATCAATTACGTTTGGGCTTTACCATCAATTTAGTTTAGTTATTAAAGTTACATTTTATGTAAAATGAAAAAGTTGGTATTGTTTATATACTGACGACCTCCATGGCCAAGTGGTTTATACGCCGGGTTTCAAGGTGTGGCCATCTCGAGAGGTCCCGGATTCGAATCCCGGTGGAGGCAGATGTTTGTGTGATGAATACGAGCATTTGTACTACAGTCATGGATGTTTAATATGTATTTCTATATAAATATACTTATATATGTATCAGTTTATGTATTCTATCCGTTACCCTAGTATCTCATAACACAAGCCTACAGTGCTTACTTTGGGGCTAGGCTAATTGGTGTGTGTTGGAAATATTTATTTATTTATTATTATTATTTATTATTTATTCCTCATGTGGGCGGGGTACAGAATGTTCAGGTCGGTAAAGTTTGCTAGTAATAAATTGTTGGATTCTGTAAAAAAGATCACTTACCATTATAAAAACTTAATGGATTATGTCTTCATGGTATTATTTGGTTCTGGGTAGGCATCGGGCAAAGTATGGTTCCTCGTATTGCGTGTAGATTTAGGCCCGTATTACAGAATGACGACTAAGTGTTGATCTTTACTTAAGTACAGTTAGAAAGGGATGTCGCTATGTGCTCTATATAGCGACATCCCTTTCTATCTATGCTCAAGACTAGATTACTGAGAATCTTTCTATAAGATTAAGTCTGCTTAGTATCAAGTAGGTTTATATACAATTTATGCTTGCTTGCCACCATTTCCACTTAATGATTTGGACTAGTTTGGTCTGTATAAGTATTTGAATTGAAATGTTGTTCGCATTTCCAGTAGGCAAGCCGACGACCCACATACGGTTTCGTTGCCATGTTATTGATCTACCTACTTCACTTTGGGAGTTCAATAAATCATAAGAATTTGTCATTTGATGGTGTAGGATTCCAAAAGAGAACAAAACCAGACTATGTAGGATACGATTTTACGATCTCAAATCGATGGCCTGGACTTAGGCAACAAACAACAACATTGAAACCTACAGAAACTATGAATTGTTTTTTTTAATCTTGCTTTAGCTTTGAGCTTGAGGAGCTCGGTGGCGCAACTGGTTAGCGCGTTCGGCTGCGATCGTTGAAGTTAGGCAACTTTCGCAGTGGTCGGTCATTGGATGGGTGACCAAAAATTTACTATCTTAAGCTCCTCCGTGCTTCGGAAGGCACGTTAAGCCGTTGGTCCCGGCTGCATCTGCAGTCGTTAGCACCCACCAAACCGCACTGGGCCCGCGTGGTCATGGCCCAATCTCCCTATTCCATCCATAGGGAAGGCCTGTGCCCCAGCAGTGGGGATATTAATAGGCTGATGGTGATGATGAATCTTGCTTTGTAAAAATATGTTTGTTTGTGCGATATAATTTAATATTACTCATGTAGATATTCCTCCGTCCCATATAAAGAACCACCCCACAGTAACTAAAAGTTGCTATATGTGGCGTTGGTTGGGGATGAAAAAGGGAGATTGAGCCATGGCTCATGACCCCACCACATAGATCCAATGTGAATTGATAGAACTCAACAAAGAGTGCAGATGCAACCAGGAACAACAGCTTAATTTGCCTTCTGAAGTACTAAGAATCTCGAGATAGTAAATTTTGGTCGCCCATCTATGACCTGCCATTGCAAAAGTTGCTTAACTTCCACAATCGCCACTGTGCCTCCGAGTCCTCGGTTCTGAGTTGGCCAGAAATAATTGGTATAGATTTTCTGCACATCACTTATACGATACATCATAAGAAGTCTTGCACGAGCAAGTTAGTAATAACTCCGCTTTATATTTCGTTCGCTGTCCAGCAATCATCATCATCAGCCTATTAATGTCCCCACTGCTGGGGTACAGGCCTTCCCTATGGATGGAATAGGGAGATTGGGCCATGACCCGCCACGCGGGCCCAGTGCGGATTGGTAGGTGCTAACGACTGCAGATGCAACCGGGACCAACGGCTTAACGTGCCTTCCGAAGCTCGAGAGAGTAAATTTTTGATCACCCATCCAATGACCGACCACTGGGAAAGTTGCTTAACTTCAACGATCGCAGCCGAACGCGCTAACCAGTTGCGCCATCGAGCTCCTCGCTGTCCAGCAATAGAAATATTTAATACGGTATGTCCTGATTTTTTATCGTAACATTATATTGTCCACAGGATCAGGAGCATCTGAAGCCGCCCATCGTGGGCGGTCTGGCGAACGCGGAGTTGTACTGCCTCGCGCTGGCGAACATGTACTCGGACCCCAACTACCACAGCCTCAACCATTGGAACATCCTGCAGACGCTCGCGCGCAAGGGCGTGCACGTGCCCGACCCGCCCGACTGCGCGCTCACCGAGACCGTGCTCATACAGACCAACCCGCTCAAGATTGTTAGTATACCGTTTGTTTACTATGTCAATGCATGAGTTAGCGTCTGGACAGAAATCGGTGGAAGCTGATCGTCCGCTCCAAATGCATCTCGACGCTTACCACGATCCTCATGTGGACACCATTGGAACATCCTGCAGACGCTCGCGCGCAAGGGCGTGCACGTGCCCGACTCGCCCGACTGCGCGCTCACCGAGACCGTGCTCATACAGACCAACCCGCTCAAGATTGTTAGTATACCGTTTGTTTACTATGTCAATGCATGAGTTAGCGTCTGGACAGAAATCGGTGGAAGCTGATCGTCCGCTCCAAATGCATCTCGACGCTTACCACGATCCTCATGTGGACACCATTGGAACATCCTGCAGACGCTCGCGCGCAAGGGCGTGCACGTGCCCGACTCGCCCGACTGCGCGCTCACCGAGACCGTGCTCATACAGACCAACCCGCTCAAGATTGTTAGTATACCGTTTGTTTACTATGTCAGTGTATGAGTTAGCGTCTGGACAGAAATCGGTGGAAGCTGATCGTCCGCTCCAAATGCAACTCTGACGCTTACCACGATCCTCATGTGGCGGCGACATTTACATGCTCCACATATAATCAACATGGAGGAAATAGTCACTCGCCTCCTCAAGAAATGGCGCTACCGGCGTTGCGATCAATACGTATGGAAGCCTAAATCCCGCAAGTGAAATTCGGAGGCTAACACTCCATATATACAATGCCCGACCAACATCAGTCGGGCCGCGGCCCCCGAGCTACCGTCATCCAGCTCGGAGGAAAATCTTCCCCTTTGGCCTTCCTATACTGGTGATCCCGACGTGATTGACTATACTGGTGACCCTCGACTGAGCACAGCAGCAGCAAGCAACCTTCAGCCCTCGCAGCGCAGGTATTGCCATCTCATGTGGAGACGAGTGACGAGTGGTTTTTAGTGGGTAGGATCGGCGTTGTTCCGCGCCGGGGAGTCCCACACACGTCGCGCGCCTGGCAAGCGCGCGGTATGGTGCGTAAATGCACCGTCCGTTTTCCACCGTCAACAAAAAAAAGGGCTCCATGGGTAGGGGATGGGGTCAGGTTATTAGATAACGGCGCGAGTAATACTTTTGGTATCGCAAGCATCTATAGGCTATGGTGGTCGCTTACCATCAGGTATAAGCCGCGGCACGAAACTCTAGCGCTGACTGTTATTGCGCAGAGGTAAAAATTAAGATGTGTTGGGGGGAAACGAGGTGCGCGGGTGGGCGTGCGTTGCGCCGATTGGCTCTCCAGTCGTACCCATGCGCAGCTATCCCCTCCGCGTTTTGTTCAGCGCTAGAGTTACGTGTCGCGACTTGAAGGCCATAAGCTGGTTTGCCACGTTTTCAACTTAAAAAATAAAAATATGATTTCAGAGTGCACACATGACGGTGATAGAAGCAATAATGGTGTTGTACGCGCGCGAAGTGGTGACGCTGGACCGAGTATCTGCGGCGGCGCAGAGGTTCGAATATTTTTTTTCAATATCTTTTTTGACCGTTCTTTTTTTCAGGTAAAATCTTTCAACTGAACGAACACCTTTAGTTCTAAAGAAAATTTTGGATATGGACAATATGGCCGCAGTAGTATAATGGTCAGTGCATCTGCCCGGATAGCGGAGGGTGCGGGTTCGAATCTCGTCTGCTGCCTGGTCCACGTGGAATTTTTTTTAGTAAAATTTTCTTTAAATTTGCACATCTAGCAGTTAAAAGTGACGTCATTCTAAATACAACAGCCCCACGATGGTGGACTAGTATTTTTTTTGCACTACCACGATTTGGGTAAAAATAAAGGGATTGTTGAAGAGAACACTAATGTCTGCCAACAATTATCATTTTAATAGAAGCTTGTTCTTTTAATTGTTTTAAAAATATAAATTTGTTTTTGATAGCTTCCTAAGAGTAAGTATTTTAATATGTTTTGTCATCATGTATTCAGGTTCGGCACTAGTCAGCCGCTGCCCGCTGGGTCGAGTATACCGCACGAGGATGGCCTGCTGTGCTGGATCAACGCAGCTTGCGCGGCGTTCAACAAGGCTGAGGTATTTTATTTAATAATCTATTCGCCTTATACACAATTATACAATACGTAGACTAAAGTTAAACCTAGATTAAAATTGATGCTGTCATTTTTGTTTGCTAAAAAGAAGACAGACAATATTAGGTTTAAGTAAATGATTTTTTTATAGCCAGGTAGGCATATGACACTACCCCACCTGATGTTAAGTGGTGATGAAGTCCAAATGCGAAGTTAGCTGGTACAGCAGTTATAAACTGCTACACCAACCATCCTCACCTTATCGGCCTGCAAAAATGCTTCTTTACGCCTCTCTTAAAGGATCCTAGATTGTAGGAAGGAGAATTCCGCTTACGTATAGAACGACAAAGAAATGAGTCACCAAATTTCTTTCTGATGATAAATAAATTTGTTAATAATAAATAAACTTAGTATTTAACTTCATTTAATTTAACTTCATTATATTTGACTTGTTTAATTTGATTGATTTTGTTTAAATTTGGTTGGACTTGATTTGATTTAATTTGAATTAACCTACATCATTTTAAGCTTAAGTTTATTGCAACATCCCAACGGGGTCATGTACCACTTACCATTAACTGTGTAAGATCTTATAATAAATAATTTACATTTGCAACGTGAAATAAATAAATTAAACTAAGACTAACTTAAGGCACCGTTTTGGAATAAATCGGTATTAATTCCCCCCATGGCTTCATTGCATGACAGCGCAGTGTAGTAGATATCAGACTGTACCTATAAAGGACTTATTTAACAAATTTATAATTTAAGAGAATTGTACATTACGGATATTCAATATGCCACTCCGCGTGGTGGGTCATGGCCTAATCTCCCTATTCCATCCATAGGGAAGGCCTGTGCCCCAACAGTGGGGACTTTAATAGGCTGATAATAATCATAGTCAATATGAGATTTTTTTTATGTATTTTCTCGCATTAAAGTCAATACCTTGAATAACATAGATTTAATGATTGTGGGTGTCTTTATACAATTAAAGTTAATAAATAGCGTTTATATAATTAGATAATTGTATGTGTTTCCGAGGGTGTGGAAGGAGTGTTTTTGTGTCTGTCCGTCCGCAGCTTATTCGTACTAGTGCGAATATTTTTCTTCGTTTGTAAACGAAAAGAAATTTTATTGTTTTTATCAATTTGTATTTTTTTGTTATTTTATGGTTCATTATCGTACGAGAGTCCTAGCAGTTGGTGTGATATAGTTCAATACTATAGCTTGACCGCTGTAAAGTCGACCCTCCAGCTGGCTATCGCTGTCGGCAGCTACCGATTGAATGGTCGAGTGAATTCCTCTCCCGTGACCCGGACTATCGGGAGGTCGACTTTGCTTATGGTGGTGAAGCTATACCACTTCAGCCTGGGTGTAGATTGATCATCATTATCATTAAAGTCCCCACTGCGGGGGCACAGGCCTTCCCTATGGATGGAATAGGGATATTGGGCCATGAGCAGTGCGGATTGGCGGGTGCTAACGACTGCAGATGCAGCCAGGACCGACGGCTTAACGTGGCTTCCGAAGAACTGCGGAACTCGATATAGAAGATTTTCAGTCACCTATCCAATGACCGAATACTGCGAATGTTGGTTAACTTCAAGCCGAACAATGCTTACCACCTGCGCCGTCGAGCTCCTCAATAGAGAATAGGGTGTAGATTGATCACCTGGCGGGTGCGCGGCCTTTCGGAGACGGGTTCCGCGACCACACCCGCCCTCTCGGCATGCACTAGGGGGACCGCGGTCCTCATAGTGCGTGTCGGTTGACGGTGCAGGAGTATTGTCTGGTTTTTAGTGGCCCTGTTCAGGGCGTAGGTAGGGCCCTGTTCACATCAGAGCTTCAGGGCTGGCTGAAGGGGACAGGGAGGAGTCCCACATACTTTCTTCTCGCTCCCCCAGTGGTTGAAGGATGCGTAAGGCATTTTCCAGACACAACAAAAAAAAAAAGGGTGTAGATTGATGTTTGGATGGATATGTCAGGAGGAGCCGGCGCGTCACGTGGCGCCGGTGGGCAGCGTGCAGGACGTATGCGAGGGCACGGCGCTAGCGGCGCTGGTATCGTTCTACTGCCCGGAGGCGGTGCCGCGCGGGGCCGTGCGCGTGGGCCGCGTGGCCTCGCTGCAGGACTGCCTCCACAACCTGATGCTGGTGCACCGCTTCTGCCGCACGGCGCTGCCGCATGACGTGTTCCACATGCTGCCCGAGGACGTGACCTACATGAGGGGGTATGTGTCCCGACCGCACGCAGTACTCACACGCATAAGCACGCTCTAAGCGTCATATACACGAGAGTGCTTCTAGAAGAATCTTAAACAATGTCATTATTTTTCTAGTGATATCTTATTGTGCATTCAAATACCCGAATGAATACTTTTCTTATAAAAAATACAACACGCTTATTTAAGAAAACTTGTGTTTGTACCAAATTTGTCCATATAAAATATGTTTTCGGGAAGTCAACAAGATTAATTTGGGTAACCATGTGTAAAACTACGTGCTAACGAAATTCCAAATGCTCGTCAAATTTACTTTTCACGCATCGGTCCACTTTTGCCGGTACTATAGAATCTCCCAACACACTTGGTCCTTCGAGCCGGATCCGAATCAGTAATCACTTCAGTGTCCAAACTATTCCTTACAACTAACTAAAATATAATTATTTCCTGCTTTATTAAATTAGAAGTATACAGCCACATACTTTTGTTTATTTTGGATCCACCGAAGGTTGAATATCGGACAGCAAACAGACATCATACGAGCAAATTTTCTTCAGTTTATGCGCCAAGGGACCCGAATTGCATACGTAAATTCCCAATCAATCAACTTACTATTTATCTTACCAACTGTTCCTTTTGATAATGTTAATTGCTATCATTTATAAAAAATAATTATGTAATAAAAGCAATAAAATTGAAAATAATTTAATAAAGGTATAAAAATTTCATAAAAGATATTGAATATGATTACATTTTCTTAAATTGTTTATATGATTTTGTTGTGCGATACTGATATAATGATAATAGTGAAAAAAAATAAAAAACGGAATAATAAATTCTAAAATATTTTAATTTGACGTTTCAACGCCACATTTGTCTGGTGATTTCAACCTTATTGCAATGGGAATAATTAAACCAAATTTCGATGAAATAGATCCCAAATCAAAGCACTTCACCGTTCAAGTTGAGGATGATAAATAAACAATTCTTAATTTATATTGTCCTTAAAATCATAAAATAACAGAAACTTAGTAAAAATAACTTTTTTGTTGTTGCTATTATAAAATAAAATTAACACATACATATACTTGAGTGACTCCTCAAGATTGCGTGCTACGAATTTTGATTACAAATTTACCAAACTGCGAATGTTTCAACATGCATAGTATTTATATTCCGTGATGGTGTTTATGTATATATTATATGGTGTGCTGTACTTTAATCAAAACAGAACAGAATATCATCATTTTGGCTTTTTTGAGGTGAAAATGAGTGAATGAATATACATATTAATTAAGGAATTATTGTATTATTTTCAGGTCCATGAAGCAAAACTTAGTAGCGATGCTAGCAGACCTATTCAACTTGTTAGAAGTGCATCCTGTTAATGCTGTAAAGTTCCCTGGCCCTGGTGAGTGCTATCATACAACTCAGTATTATTGTATAACAATTTAACCCGAATATATAATCGCAATGCATGCCAATTAGACCTCTAATGGGAGTATGTGGTCATAATATCAACGATTTTTATGCCTACTAATTTAATCGTTAAAATATTTCTGTATATCCTTATTAAAAGAGACGGAGTAGGCTTGTTCAAGATTGCATACTATACAGAAAGCAACGGGGCTTACGGGTATGATCAGTTATTTTTATATGCAAACGTTATTTTTGCTATTATTAAAATATATTTTTTCATCCAGATGTATCCTATTCAATATAAAATAATATTGTTCGTGCAATGTAATTATACACTGATTACTTATTGTTGTTTTCGTATTCAAATTGTATGGAGGTAAGTTGTTGTTGGTTTAAGAAGGAATTTATAAGGCTTTGCTAAATAACGTTTTCCTCCTAATGTTGTCACCCTGTCTTGCTTTCCATGCGTGACTGCGAGTACTCATATTTATGTGCGTGTTTCAGTTTTTTTTCAGTCGCTTTGCCCTTTTCTAATGCACAGAAGTGTAGTTCTTTAGAGTTATAGAAGTTATGAAATTAAGAAGACGGTTTGCATCTGTAAGCGGGTTGATAATAAAGGTCAATGCTTATAAAGGAGACGCTTTAGTGACATACAAGCCAAAAACTTACGAAGCGGTTTTTACCCGCACCCGCCGCGGACGAACGCAGAGCGTTTTTATTTACAAACTCATGAGACCACAGTTTTTTTGGGGTCCTCGTAATCTTAACGAAAGAAGTTCGGACGAAACCCGCCGCAGATGCCGCAAATAACCGCGCACTCTGCGGGCGTAAATCGCACCGTTTGCTTTAGCGTTTCACCTACAACTTCACATTTTACGCGAGTTGTAGTCCCGCAGCCGCGGCGGGCGCGATAGAAAATCACGCCGTGAGTTCTTAGCCAGAAAGGGGAGACGTGACTGAAAAATATTGAAAATAGTATGTAAATATAGGGTGTTCATATAATAAATGCTGAGGGCGCATGGTAATTCTGAGTGAAAGAATAGAATGTCGTGATGTAGTACACTTTGATTTACGGGCGTGACTAGGTTTTGTATTAAGAAGTGAAATTGCAATAAAGTTGGTAAGTCAAGGCAGGGTGAAACTCCACCCGCTCGGTCGATGTATGGATAGTATGAGATGAATTATCATGAATGTGTGGTATATACGCGAGTTTCGCTAGGAAGAAACTGAACCTTTTAGTATTATTGATTGTCATTATCTTATTATGACTATGATGAAGGATATTTCACGTTTCGAGTTCTAATGAGGTTACCGGTTAAGATTTTATTAAAATTACTGTTGAATAAAACGATACAAAGTGTTTTTACGTGTAACATTGCTCCTCTCGCTTTGGCATTTATACTTTTTACCTCAAGGAACTGCAGTGTGTAACAGAAAGCCCAGGCTATAGTGCGTTTTTTGTGTACGCGTGCGGTGGTAGTCTCTGACATGTTTTTCAGCATATAATACCAAAGTAAGTTGTCAAACGTTACACATCACATCATTCAATTAATGTTTGTCTCGCTTGTTTTTATCATATAAATCATTATTATGGACCGGTTTTCAACCAAACAAAATATCTGGAGTACAAATTATGCTATTCATTTTGAACGTTAATCATACACTCCACAAACTTCTCGAGAGACAACCGTAGCCGTATCGTAGATAAGGAAGCCTGCGCAGGAGCAATTTTACATACAAAAACGTTTATTGCGTACTTACGCATCAGGCTGAAGAAGTTTACCCGTTGTACCAAATGCAATCAACTTCTTCAAAGTAAGCAAGTTTGCCGCAACCTAAACCTCGGATCGGTCTTTGCAAAGGTTCAGTCTTCTCGCTAGCGTGTGGTGGTCGAGTGGAGCGTGCCAGAGTATGAGCACGGTAATATTATCTATACAGTATTGTGACTCCGCCCTGTCCTTGAAAATAAATGCCTACGACCGAGCGCTGCGTTGGCACGCGGTAGGGCCGCCAGCCTACAGTATTGTATGTAGTTTTGTTTTTAACGCGAGTATAGGTAGATTACTCGTTTGTCTCTTTTTTCATCCCAATCACTTATTTATATATTATTCCAGATATTTTGCCCCATGGAAAAACCGAAATACCTAAATATTAGTAACAAATAACGTACTAGTAGAAAGGTATATAAAAAACTAGCGGACCCGACAGACGTTGTCCTGTCTACACGTCTTTGTGAATCTAAACCATTCTCAGATCCCCTTGAACACACACAAAAAATTTCATCAAAATCGGTCCAGTCGTTTAAGAGAAGTTCAGTGACATACACACTCACAGAAGAATTATATATATAAAGATATTCTATAAAGGTAAGACACCTTTCCAATATTACAGGTAATTTAAAAAAGAGATATCTCTGGGTGTGTTATTGAAGAGTTCAAGTAACCAAAAACAGCAATCGTGCTGTTGTACGAATATTGATCGTCGTTTGTTCTTTTCCATACTAAATTATGTAGGTATCTACTTAATTAAATCAAATATTTACAATACAAAACGCACGTTTAAGCACGGCTAACTGCATAAAAAACAATTCAGACCGTTCGGTCGTCGTCGCGGCGCGGCGGCGCATTCGCGACTGGGTGCCCGCCGAGAGCGCATCGAACTCGAGTGGCGTAGGTATGACTCGCTTTCCGACCGTTTGTATGAAGATAGAATACTGTATGATATTATTACCGTGGTATGAGTGCGTGGTGCGTGGTCGAGTGTAGTGGAGTGTCGTGACGTGGTGGGGTGCTGGGTGTCAGATTGCGCGGGCAGCAACGCGGCGGGCGTGCGGCACAAGCGGTGCCTGCCCCCCGCGCCCCTCCCCATCCCCGACCTGCGCCCGGATACTGCCCCGCCAGGCGGCGGCTCCGCGCCCAAGGGGCAGCGCGCGCCCTTCACAGGTACCCACTCGACCGTCGAGCCCGCTCACACCGCCCGCCCGATAGAGGCGAAAAGAGTTTTGCCTTGTTTTTGCGACGCTGCTTTTTCCTTACTCGTTCCTCCACTATTTTACCTATTTTACACAAACAGGACCGAACTAAGATGATAAATCAAACCGTAAAATTACACATGAAATGATGATTAACGAAAAATATTAATATTGCAATAAAAAAAACTAAATAATGGTGTTGCTGTAGTATAAAACCGAGGCAGGGACCTAGTTGGCCTGTTTTGTTCTGTTTCATTTATGTAAATCTGACTGTGATTAAGGCTAATAAATTTATTTCTTTTCTATTCTATAAAAATAGATACTTCAGTCTAGAATAATGTCACAATAGAGTATTAGACAGTATGAAAAATAAAGTACCGATTGTTGGAATCTGTATTTAATAAGAATATTAGCAACGGTATTACGATTCTGATAGAAAAACGATCCATAACTTTTCTAAAAATCGTTAAAAAGAAATGTTTTTCTTTCTTCTAAGGTCACGTAACCGAAAACGCCTGGAATTTTCTAAGACTTAAATGACGTCACATGCTAGAAACGTCCTATCAAAGTCATATCACGTTCTATCATTTGACGTTTTAATGACAGTCGTGTGACGTCAGATGCTAGTAAAACGTCATAATGTCAAGAGAAACGTTTTCGCGACAACTTCATAATGGAGATTTCGAGTTAGTTTTTTTAAATCAAATACTCAATAGAATGATAAATATGTCATACGAATTCACATCGATATACGAATAGTAAATAACGTGAGAACATTTTCTAAAACTTGTTAAATACCCTATTACGTGAAAATTTAACTCCATTCCACTTTATTACAACATTGAATACACCTACAATAAATATACATACATAAAACTACCAAGTAATTTATTACCGTCGCGGGTGTCGTGTGAAGTGGGCGTGGCGGGTGTAAATATTTCCGTGTGTGTGTTTGTGTGTGTCAAGTGTTAGACTATTTGTTTGTGTTGCGACACTCTTTGTTTTTCTGATAATATAAATCCTGAAGGATTAATGCCATTTATTTATTTTATGAAGCTTTCTGCAATACTACTTTCTCATTGTTTACTCTTAACACAATAACTCGCTTTACTCAACTCGATACTTTCATCACTTCACAGTTTTTATCGCTTTGCATGTGTCTATGAATTTTCACTGTCAATTTGTTTAGCACTTTTCTGAAATATAATTTGGAGTCATTGAAATTATGTCCTCAAGACTCCCGATTTTACAAGTTAATTGCACATATTATTCAGTAGATTGGTGTCACTGTAGACTTTTTGAATTCCTTAAAGAACACATAAATCATAAAAGTAGTGGTAGAGATGTAAAAAGCTTTTTAATTTTTTAAGTTGTAGTTTAGCGTCACGTGGCTATTGTAGTTCCAATATGCTTATTAGAATGTACGCCATTGATAAGCCAAATTAGAAGTATATTTTACATGTTAATTTCTTGTATTTCTGTTGGGTTTTAAATATTTGCCAATGTCTTGCAGGAAGTAATAATACACATTTTGTGTAAATTTTTCTTGTCTTCCTATTGCGGTTAATGAGGTTACAATCTGCTGACAGACGCATGAACGGACAGCGAAAGGATAGTATTTTTTACTGAGTTGGTTATAAAACGCTTTTGATTTAAATTTTGAAAAGTTTACCGCAAATACAATTATAGTACTATAAAATCATCTGTGAGTGAGATTACCTACAAAAGCAGTGTTGCCAACTCTACGTCTTTTTACGTAGATCTACGTATTTTAGGCCTTTTTTGCAAACCTACTAACTTCAGTCCCAAAATCTACGTATTTTCTTTAATTTGTACAAATTTGCAAAATAACATAACTCACTAGAATAGGGAAGCATATTTTCCGTTACTCGTAAACTATACAAATATTTATTTCTTATAGTTTTTGGTACGAGGAACTTAAATACATCGATTTCACTTCATAAAATCGGAAGATGGCTGTAGTTATCTAATTTGAAAAAAATATTTTTAGTCTATACTTTTTAAACACTGAAAACGCTGTCCGCCATGATTGTGACGGTACAAAATTTGTAAACAACTAAACGTCATTGTTACTATGGTTTCTTTCGTCGGATTAAAATATATCTAAAGACTCTTATATCTTGTAGAAGAGTTTCCGTTTATTGGTTTTGTTGACTAAATTATTGCTGGACGCCGAATTTGTAAAAGCAGAAACGACAAAGCTCTCTTACTTAGTAGGTACTTACATTAATAAAAAAAAAAATAAACTTAAAATATTATTGAATCAGTACTTACACCGAAGTGATCTTTGCAAAAAGACATGACTTTCAGTCGATAAAGTTACAGGATTTAGCAAGTTTTAAACATGTGTTCATGTGTAGATATGTTTATTTCTCTGGGCAATTTAAACCACAACTTTTTGGAGTCTTTAATGTTGTGATTCTACATTCTCGCATAATCATGATAATTACTACAATACATATTTTTCGGTGTAATATAACAATTATTAACCATTTAAAACATATTTTCAAAGTGTCAACTACCCTATTTGGTAACAGTTTATTCTTGTCATTCTTTATACAGAATGAAAAGGAGAGACTGATGTTAAATTTAGTGCTAAGTTTAGAGAATTATGCCAAAATTGACACCTAGCAGCGTCTGTGTCTGATGGTAAATGTCTACTACAGCATGGTAAATGCTGCCAATGTAGCGTCTTCTCCAAGAATTCTATGTTCTATTTCCTTTTTTTAAATAAATTGTATAACAAAATATTCGTTTTAACGAACTTACTTCTCTCAGAAAAAAATACGTAGATCTACGAACTTTTCATATGCAAATTTTACTAATTCTACGTAATTTTGTCACCGGACCTACGCCTTTTTCAAAATCCGAGTTGGCAACACTGTACAAAAGTCATGTTCAAAACCGACAGTTTTAGGTAACTATTTGATTTTGTTCATATTGTGTATAATTTACAGTAATTTTGTGTTTTTTACATGAAAACCTTGATATTTGATATGAGCAAGAGTGTGTCGTATGCACAGTTCCGCGCGGGTATATCGGGTCTCCTGTGAGCACGGGTGGCAACGGAGGAGGCAGCGTTCGGGGGCTTCGGTCCGCGTGTTCTACGCCCGAGCGGCGCAGCGTGAGCCCCCCGCCCCACGACTGGGTGGTGCACCGCGGCCGCGCCCCCACCACCCTCGCCGCGCTCGCCCGTCACCATGACAACGGTGAGCGCGCCCCGTGTGTGTCCCTCATATAGCGCGCCCTGCCCCACGCCCCACGCCCCACGCCCGAGCGGCGCAGCGTGAGCCCCCCGCCCCACGACTGGGTGGTGCACCGCGGCCGCGCCCCCACCACCCTCGCCGCGCTCGCCCGTCACCATGACAACGGTGAGCGCGCCCCGTGTGTGTCCCTCATATAGCGCGCCCTGCCCCACGCCCCACGCCCCACGCCCGAGCGGCGCAGCGTGAGCCCCCCGCCCCACGACTGGGTGGTGCACCGCGGCCGCGCCCCCACCACCCTCGCCGCGCTCGCCCGTCACCATGACAACGGTGAGCGCGCCCCGTGTGTGTCCCTCATATAGCGCGCCCTGCCCCACGCCCCACGCCCCACGCCCGAGCGGCGCAGCGTGAGCCCCCCGCCCCACGACTGGGTGGTGCACCGCGGCCGCGCCCCCACCACCCTCGCCGCGCTCGCCCGTCACCATGACAACGGTGAGCGCGCCCCGTGTGTGTCCCTCATATAGCGCGCCCTGCCCCACGCCCCACGCCCGAGCGGCGCAGCGTGAGCCCCCCGCCCCACGACTGGGTGGTGCACCGCGGCCGCGCCCCCACCACCCTCGCCGCGCTCGCCCGTCACCATGACAACGGTGAGCGCGCCCCGTGTGTGTCCCTCATATAGCGCGCCCTGCCCCACGCCCCACGCCCCACGCCCGAGCGGCGCAGCGTGAGCCCCCCGCCCCACGACTGGGTGGTGCACCGCGGCCGCGCCCCCACCACCCTCGCCGCGCTCGCCCGTCACCATGACAACGGTGAGCGCGCCCCGTGTGTGTCCCTCATATAGCGCGCCCTGCCCCACGCCCCACGCCCCACGCCCGAGCGGCGCAGCGTGAGCCCCCCGCCCCACGACTGGGTGGTGCACCGCGGCCGCGCCCCCACCACCCTCGCCGCGCTCGCCCGTCACCATGACAACGGTGAGCGCGCCCCGTGTGTGTCCCTCATATAGCGCGCCCTGCCCCACGCCCCACGCCCCACGCCCGAGCGGCGCAGCGTGAGCCCCCCGCCTCACGACTGGGTGGTGCACCGCGGCCGCGCCCCCACCACCCTCGCCGCGCTCGCCCGTCACCATGACAACGGTGAGCGCGCCCCGTGTGTGTCCCTCATATAGCGCGCCCTGCCCCACGCCCCACGCCCCACGCCCGAGCGGCGCAGCGTTAACCTTCCACTCAAGCTTTTTTTGATAAGCATGGGGTCATGGGCGAGAGATTCCATTCTCGCCCTGGTGATTACCGGCAGAGAATATTTCTTCCTCAGGCGAGTACTGAAACAGATGAGTATAAATTTACCAGAAAAAAATACTACACTCTACGACCCTTGTAATCTCTACCTGTTAAAAGAATTCAAAAACTCGCAATAGGTAAACAAATTTATCACTTGGTCGATGGTAAGCAGTTACCATAACTTCAGATGCTTGTGATATCAAAGTACTTATTACTCGCGCATTATCGACATTTGCCCTATGCGCTACTTAGTAGAGGAGAGGAAGATCCTAACAGAGTATGAATTGGACTGTTCCTTCGCTATCGACGACCGTGGTCGAGTGGTTTGTACGCCGGGGTTCAAAGTGTAGCCTACTCGAGAGGTCCCAGGTTCGAATCCCGGTGGGGGCAAATGTTTGTGTGATGTTTTTCTTTATTATTATACTTAAATATGTATTCTATTCGTAACTCTAGTATCATATAACATAAGCTTACAGTGCTTACATTAGGGCTAAGCTAATTAATTGGTTAAAATAAAAAAATAAACTAGGTATAAGAAATCATGACAGAAATTTCGCATTCCTTCGTCTCTCGCACTTATCTGGTCACTTTTTGCTTTACAGTTCGGGAATGCTCAATCTATTTATTCGATTCCGCTGTTTGCGGTCCTAATATGTGATATCGTTACAGTGTCCGTATCATCGTCGGAGAGTGGCATGGGGCCCGCAATGGGCGGTCTAGCGGCGGGGCGGCCCACAACGCGGGAAAGAGAGAGGGAGAGGGAAGGCTCCTTTGCCGGCCGCCGCTCGCGCCGTTCCTCTATCACCGATGACAGTCAGCTCACCGTAGAAAACTTTGGCGGATCACAAGACAGGCTGCATTTCGCGGGAAGGAATCCGGAGAAGGAGCTCGCTACCGTCACGCTGGCCAGGAAGATATCCGCACCCGCAGGTACTGTTCTTTAGGTTGCATTATATACTAGTTAGTACGTAAGCACACTTAGTCCTGGACTCCGATGACAGTCAACTCACCGTAGAAAACTTTGGCGGATCACAAGACAGGCTGCATTTCGCGGGACGGAATCCGGAGAAGGAGCTCGCTACCGTCACGCTGGCCAGGAAGATATCCGCACCCGCAGGTACTGTTCTTTAGGTTGCATTATATACTAGTTAGTACGTAAGCACACTTAGTCCTGGACTCCGATGACAGTCAACTCACCGTAGAAAACTTTGGCGGATCACAAGACAGGCTGCATTTCGCGGGACGGAATCCGGAGAAGGAGCTCGCTACCGTCACGCTGGCCAGGAAGATATCCGCACCCGCAGGTACTGTTCTTTAGGTTGTATTATATACTAGTTAGTACGTAAGCACACTTAGTCCTGGACTCCGATGACAGTCAGCTCACCGTAGAAAACTTCGGTTGATCACAAGACAGGCTACAAGGAGCTCGCTACCGTCACGCTGGCCAGGAAGATATCCGCACCCACAGGTACTGTACTTTAGGTTGCATTATATACTAGTCAGTACGTAAACACACTTACTCCTGGCCTCCGATGACAGTCAACACACCGTAGGAAACTTCGGCAGATCGTAAGACAGGCTGCACTTTGTGGAAAAGGATTCGGACAAGGAACTAGCTACAGTCACGCTGGCTGTAAACTGAAGCCCAAGCACGAAAGTTTTGACAGTCAAAGTTTCTATGAAAACTAAGCGGCATCCTATCGGAGGAAACTAGCAAACAAACTAGCTTTTTCCTTTAAAAAAAATACGATGATGATACGTTACGAAGCTGTCAAAAAATTCGTGCTTGGGCCTCTGTACTTCTGCACTGTTTATACACTAGCTTGTACACCTTTGATTGTAAACACCTAGATACCGTATTAACTGCACGGAAGCGGTGCAAAAAATATCTACTAGATATGGTAGATATGCTCGTTGCTACACACGCACACATTGATTGCTTTCATACAATGTAACATTAGAGCCACGCACACATTGTGCGTAAATGAGTCCTTTTGTTTGCGTGTTTTATTTGGATTGCTTTATCTAGGCGTTTAAATAAATCCAAGACGTACACATTGAGCTCTGGTGGATAAGAAGCTGACGATCGGAAACATTTTTGGTTGAAAATTGCTTGCATGTAATCGAGAATTTCTTATAATTTTCTACCATGACTGGAGTAAAATTTAAGCGATTATAATCTCCAAAGTACATTGTCGAGTTCTACTATAAGTTCAATTAAAAATAATTTGCAACCAAGATAAAATGTGAATGAAACTAAAAATTCAATTTCGTATGAACCTCAATTACAATAATCATTTTAACATAAAATTTCACCTCCGTACCGATTCTCATTTTAACGCACCATCCACTTTTATATTAATCATTTTCTTAAAAGTTATTTACGCTAGAATGAACGTTTTTAACACAGCAGGAATATCTTAACTTCCAGGTCCGGTGAACTACAGCAATCCGCCTCTGCGTTCGTCGCGGCAAGACATCCGCGGCTCCATACAGTTCCTTCACGACGACTACCAGAACGGCGCCGACGAAAGGCCGAGGTCACGACAAAGCTCACAAGAGAACGACCTTTCAATCAGGAGACAGAACTCACAATCCGACTTCAGTCCGGTTAAAAGACAGAACTCTCAAAACGATAGCGATTTCCCAGTTCGGAGACAGAATTCTCAACCAGATGCAGTTAGCCTCAGCCAGTTGGGTTTCTCGCATCGCGGCGGAGGAGATAGTTTCGACCGAGACGCAACAGACGGCGACAACACGAAGACCAGCTTTGCGGACTTGAATAAGATCAGAAATGGTGAACAGCAAGGTTTGTGCCCGCACTGTGGATTAAAGAAGCAGTATGAGTCGGTGCAGATGGATGGAGTGGCAACGTATGGAAAGTTTGATAGCGATGTAAAGTCAACCTTATTCAACTAGACACAGGGTTTAGGGGACCTAGTTTTTTCGTTCAAAACTGAATGAGGTTGTCTTTTTCTTGTATTTGAATTTGCCGCTTCGCTGCCATAAATCCGTCAGCGCTGACCCTTGAAAAGCGCATTTAATAAATTCGTCTCATATGTAAATTCCTCCATTTCTAAATCCACAGTGATCTTTTATTGACACTTTTGACCTATCGATGTTGACATACACACAAAAAACAGACACATTGTGGTATGATTTTCGCTTTTTATGTATGCGCTTGGACTGAAGCTTAATGCCGTAAAATAGTCTTAACAGTTTTATCGTGTTTCGGGCCACATATTCCCATTGTCTAACTTCAAAATGTATCCTGCATTTAGTGTGAAGACAGCAGCACATGAGCTCACTGTATGTTATATGTAAAACTTTCCCGAAGAACGCATTAACAATACTGTTTCTTTAATAGTCTTCTGTGCTGTTGACTGTACAGCCAAAGAGTAGTTTTTCACTTACGGGCGATAATCGCTTGAACTCTTATTTCAATTTTGGTAGCAAACCCCGCGCACTACCAAGAGTGAGTGCAAGCGATTCTCGCCCTAAAAGTTTGGTTTGTCTAACGTTTCCACGACCGGACAGGTGTTTTGGGGCAGGAAGAACGAAGGAAGGCCACATTCACGACACCCTCACCGAATACGACCACGTGGCAGCAACAGTTCATGCAGCACGACAACCAGACCAGTGAGTCAAGAATATTTCATTAATATTTCAACTAATATATTATAGTTTGTCCATTCTATTATTATCTTTTTGACAGATCGACGCCCATGAAATTTTGTATTGTTTTCGTTAAAATGTCATACAAATAATATTGGACTTCATGGGCGGGTACCGCCCACTTAGTGATGTGCCACACATAATGATTATTAAGATTGTACCACAGATTACAAATAATCGGTAGAAATAAATGAGTACAACCAAATTGTAAGGAAAAAAGCCAAAGATATAGTTTTATATAAACCTTTTTTTAAATGAAATTATTAATTATAATCAATAAATCTAATTGTACAGAGTATTAGTATTAGGATAAACAAACATATAAAAAGTATACTGCTTTATTTGTTGTATATATATATACATAATATATATACATCACACCCAGACACAGAACAAATACTCGTACTCATCCCACAAATATTTGTACTAGGTAAAGTAATAAATCTAATGAGATTTTGAAATAATTTATTAAACACCAGTATTTTAGATAACTAAAATAATTTCGATACTTATAATCGATTAAACAATGTTCTAGCATAAAATCGATTATAGCTTTAAATCGAATGAGTTATGTGATAGGGTGTCACTATTTTTACTTCGATCGATCTGTCAAAAAGATAATAATAGAATGGACAGACTGTAATCAATATTTACTATTAAAATGATGACAAAGGTGGATTTAATGTGAAAAGAGATGACGTAGTCTTAGTCTTAGTAGTATGGCGGGCTGTTTCCGCAACTCGACACCCAGTGCCTATTTTGCGTGGGGATTGGCATCAGTCCTGCCATCCCAGCTCCTCCAGAAAGCTCAGCGGTCCCCGGATGTTACTGCAGGCTTCTACTAGTGTACAGAGATGGACGTATTTTAACAATTGAACAAAAATTTGTGTGTTAATTAAATACTGTGCTATATTTGTAAGCATTTTATACACTCGGCGAAAAAAAATCGCGCCTCCTATTGCTGCTATCGCTCATTTCTCTGTTTTACGTGAGGCACCTTAAATAAGGCGTCCCGGTTATTACTGCATTCTTTGTAACACACCAATCTGAACTAGGCCCGCGTATTGGCCCAATCTCGCTATAGGGTATTTGACAAGTTTTAGAAAACGATCTCACGTTACTGACTAATGTTTATGGAGTCCGTAAAAAGTGGATATTCATCATTCTTCTCCATTTTCAAGTTGCCGCGAAAACGTTTCTCTCGACAATATGGCGTCTTACTAGTGTGTGACGTCACACGACTGTTATTAAAACGTCAGACGATACAATGCAATGTCACTTCAACCGGAAGTTTACTTGCGTGTGACGTCATTTAAAGGCTCCGCCAATCCCAAGCGTTTTGGGTCACGTGACAATAGATAAGAAAACTATTACCTATCTTTTTCGTGGGTTTTTAGTAAAATAATGAATATTTTTTTTGTAAAAATAGTAAAAACCCCTGCCAATATTCATTCTAAAGACAGATGATAACACTTGGCACTTTATTTTTAATACTGCCTAATACCCTATTCTATCCACAGTAACGGCCTGTGTCACAGCAGTTGAGACACATAAATAATTATGATACACGATATCGCGTTGTGTCTTTTCTGCTGAATGCCCAAAATTCATGCAATTTTGTCAGCTTCGTAATCGCATCGCATCGTTTAAGTTACTATGAAGACTAAGCAGTACCCACCCCTACGGGTCGTAAGAACTAACTGGCTCCTCCCATACAAAATTTGACGATCACGATACGATTACGGAGTTGTCAAAATTCGTGCTTGGGCCTCTGCTTTCGTTTCCAGTCTATCATAAGAGGTTTATCTTTAGGTATTGTCGTTACTAATATTGAGGAGCTCGATGGCGTAAAGTGGTAAGCGCGTTCGGCTGCGATCGTTAAGTTAAGCAACTTTCGCAGTGGTCGGTCATTGGATGGGTGACCAAAAATTTACTATCTCAAGCTCCTCCGTGCTTCGGAAGGCACGTTAAGCCGTTGGTCCCGGCTGAATCTGCAGTCGGTAGCACCCGCCAATCCGCACTGGGCCCGCGTGGTGGTCATGGCCCAATCTCCCTGTTCCATCCATAGGGAAGGTTTGTGCCCCAGCAGTAGGGACATTAATAGGCTGATGATGATATTGAATTATTTTCATTAAATAGATGGCAACGAAGCAAGCGACGACAATGCAGGTACCGGCAGCGTCGCCATGGCGGCTCAACTCAACAATATCCGCCTGAAGTTGGAAGAGAAGCGACGCCGCATAGAGCACGATAAGCAGAGAATGGAACTAGCCGTCAGTAGGCAAAGGCAACAGTTGGGGCAGCAAGCCTTTCTGCAGGCCGTCACAAGGGTGAGTAGACTGCTAATATTTAAAGGAAATGCTAGTCTTTCGAAGTAACACCCTCAATCTATAATATTGTGATGAACTTTGATAAATCAATAAAATGATATAATATAGTCCAAGATGATATGCAATATTTTTAAAACCTCTTGTTCACATTATTTTATATGGTATAGAATGATGTGTCATAAGTTTCGATAACACTGGTTCACACATCTCTTGGATCAAAAATATTTGGGCAGTATTTCGTATATCATACTTAATAGTTTAAATTTTATAGCTATCAATATTTTCTGTTCATATTTTTGAAAGATTTGATCCAAACGTAAAACTCAAGACCATAATAGACTTCTTTATAGGAATGGATACAATGAAGGAAAATTCCGAAGTAGGCGTGGATAGGGTTAGGCCCAACAAGTAGGTAGCTCATCGGTCAATCGAAACTGTGCCTTATTTAAAATACACGAAGTCTTCACATTCGATGCACACGTCAGCGAACCGTGTACTCTTGTCATCACTCACCAAACTCGAATTCGAATAGTTGAATTCCATATTGATACGCGTTAAATGTCAAGAGTTTAGTATGGAAATTTGAACAGCGCCACAACGGATGTAACGAGTCTTTCTTTCATACAAAACTACTTGGCATTTGACGTATATTGAAACCAAATTAAACTTTTCGAACACGATATGGTTAGTACTTAGGGTACACGTACTCCTCTAATTTCGATCAAAGCGTAATCGAAATTATGTCTTCGGAATTAATTTCAATGAAGAATTTTCATTGAAAATGCTGTTTTGTTAATGTTAATTTGTTTGTGTTGTAGCGATGAGATATAAGGTTTTTACTACATCGTAGTTTTAATTGATTCTGTGTGATTTTAACTTTGATTGGCGTAGAATTAAGTTTTTTTTTTAATCTTGACTTGACACTTCTTGTTCTCTCAAAGAGATACTTACAAATCATTTGTAATTTTGTGAATAATCTAACTCTCCTCTTGCTACTATCACAAAACTAATGTTTATCTTTCTGTTAAAAGTTTCGCGATATTATTATTAACTCAATTCGTTGACTTCATCGTTCCTTTATTGTTAATAAGTATCTAATATTAATAAATATCTTACTATAACAAAATTAATATAATATTTTTGACCAGTCGTCCAAAGATAAAGATATAGCAAATTTATACTCAATGAAAAACCCCTAAGGTGTTGATTCGCTTGAACGCACCGATAACAACATTTCAGGTTACCATAAATTCTACCGCTTGGGTTGAAAATTGGAAGAGTTTTTACAGTTTTGTTTAGAAGAATGCTGAGTTTTGGTTTTGTGAAAATAGCAGACTACCTTACACACTCGTGTTACTAATAACGTCACTTAACTAGCGATGAATAAAGTATGTTTTTTCATTTCATTAGGATACGTTTTTGCAAAGCCAGTTGGCCTCCTTGGTGAGTGGCCGGTGGAACCCGCAGCCCCTGGGTTTAGTTTAGTCCTTTCTAATTATTATTTATTTAAGCATAGTCACATTTGAGATTCCTACATGTTATTAGTTTCTTCTGGTTAGTTCAAACACGCTTAACAAGCTTTATGAAATACATTTAAAACTTGATTAATTTAATTCATTTGTCGTAAAAACTTGGAAGTATTTTTATTCAAAGATATTTACGCTTTAAAGCTTGTACGATCAGAGAGGCAGTCGCCTTTATTTTTCTAAAGTAATTGTAAAGCTGTATAATATTTTCATTGCTTAAAAATCATAATCAGCTTTGCAGTATTTTATTTTCTTATGCAATCTCATTAAATTGTCAATGAGTTAAAACATTAAAATTTGATCACAGTTCGTAAGTTTGAGTCTCACAAAATTCACTCGAAAGTTAGTATACTACCATCACCAGACAACAGTAGTTTTTTTCACGTCAGTAGTAAGGTCCATAATCCGGTATTGTCGTTACCCAACCTTACCTACACTAACGCAGCACGTTTGTTGTAGGTACACATTGGATACAGTAAAATAATACCACATTTTAATAAAAGCATGTTTTTGTTGACTGGCATATGAAGATGAATATCAAAGATTGTGTTTTGCAGTGGACTATAAAATGAAATCGCGAGTTTTTTACTGTCGTAAAATAGTCTTGTAAATTTTCTAAAAATGTGATCATAATGAATGGTAGTTTTCTGCAAGGCGTAAAATGCAAGAAAATAATACCTGTTTTGGGATAATTCCGTGCAGTAGGGATGATGACTAATTTTTTTTTTCATCGTGTATCAGGTAGATTATCAAAAATTATTGGACACGTATTTTTTCTTTTATCACATAATATAAACATTGCAGAGATATATTGATTTGAAAAGTCGCATGACGTCACGTTTGAGTACACTTTTAAGTGAAAATTCACTCAAAAGTGACGTCACGAGTAGGGTTGCAACGATATATCGGAATATCGATAATATCGAGACCAAAATATCGATATTTATATCGATATTTAAAATTCACTGATATCGATAATATCGATATCGGAAATTCCAAAATATCGATATTTCGTAGACTTAATTTAAACACAATAATATCAATTAATTTACCTGCTATGACTATCTAAATTGAATAATATCGAAATAACTATTGCTTTGAAATCGCAAGAGCTTATAGATGTATTAAAAAAATCTTGAACCCCAAGAAATATACTAAACTGGTGTGGATTCTGGCATGATTCTCTCAACCTAAAACTAAATTTGACAACAGTGTATCCTTGTCATTTTCTATACAGAATGACAAGGAGAGACTGATGTTAAATTTAGTTTTAAGTTTAGATAATCATGCCAGAATCGACACCAACGTATATAGGTATAATCGTATAACTAATGGTAACTCATGCACTTAAATAAAATCCTTGCCTCTCTTTCTAGATAATTGTCAACTACTGATTAATTGAAATTAAATATCATTGTAATATAACACAAAATATAATTAAGAATCTTATACAAATCGTAAATTTTTAAGCTCGCCAAGTCAAGAAAGTAAGATAGGTATAGTAATTTTTGAAGCTTTAGGCTTACTCTATTCTGAAGCCATGGGCACGCCCCTGATGTGTGGGAGACTAAGCAATTTGCGTATTTGATGTGCGCTAAAAAACCGACATAGCTTGGAAAAGCACGAATGTAGTGAAAATTTAGCGAAGGCATTCGCAAATGTCGTCCCACATATGCGGGTTGGCGCATTCGTGCTAACAAATGTGAGTGATCTGATCAGGATAATAATTTTAATTTTTTGGTTTCCTGTCGTGGCTGAAACACAAACCGTACGAGCCAAAAAAAAATCCTGCTTGGCGCGATTTCATCAAGCGTGTTTAAAGAAAAAGCTGGCTCAATGCATTTTGCGAGAAACTCGCCAACAAACATATGAATGTGTCACACTCACCCCGTATTCTAATGTTTATAAAAACAAGAAAAAAAATATCGATATATCGATAATATCGAGTTAAAATGGTCGATATATCGGATATCGATATTTTCCTGACTTCGATATAAATATCGATGTAATATCGATATTTCAAAAGACTTTGCATCCCTAGTCACGAGTCCCTACTCGCAAACTTTGACGCGCTATAGCTATGTCATTTTTTGGTTGATTGCCCAAAGAAAAAATACTTGTCCATTATTTTTTGATCATCTAACTGACGGACTAAATAGAATTTCGTTCACTGTACCCCGTCATCACCCCTATTACTCTAAAATTTGTATTGTTTGAAGTTCCGTTCACATAAGCAATCGCGTATGTTTAGATCGTAGTCCAATGCAGATCGCAAGCTTTCGATAAAGTCAAGGTAGCGTGGTATGTGAGGCGTGGTGTGAAGGGGTGGGTGTTGGTGTTACAGGGCAAGGGCGCGCGTACGCCTGCCGAAGAAGATGCCCGCGCGGACTCCACGCAGGTAACTTACCAATGTCTTCAAACCAATTACAGTGAAACCTGGTTAATTGGGATCTCAAGGGACCAAGACATATGTACTAATTATTGAGGGTATCCAATAATCCAGTTTACCAATTAAGCAGGTTTAAAATTATAGTTGTCTCATTTACAGAGGCCCCCGCTTACAGCGGTCGAAATGTGCCGTTATTCCCTTGTTTTTAGGTCAAAACCTGAGATAGTACTGACAAACAAAGCATGCGCGAAAGACGATGCGAAATGTATGTAAACAAACGTGTCAAAACGTGTTACAACCTGATTAATTAGTCTCACTTATACAGGTAATTGAGCTTCAGAGTCTCAATTATAGATGTAAACAACGAAAGAGTCTTAGAATTCAAATCTCATTTAACCAGGTTCAAAAAGTCCCATTGACAGAGGTAATTAAATGAAAAAGAACCGGGACCTCATTGCAACTCTCAATAATAGAGGTTTCTTACTTATCCAGGTCCTACTTAACCAGGTTTCACTGTACAACCTTATTCCCTTGATATATAGCTCAAAATAGGAAACAGGGAATATGGGGCCGTTCAAGTATTACGTAAGCACTTAACGGGGGCAGGGGGGTCTCGGGGTGTCAATAAAGTTTCTTTTAAATGAATATTATGTGCGTTAAAGTCCTCTATCCTAACCCTTTTTAAGTACAGCTGCTCATGAAGCTCATGAATCAATAAAAAAACAACAGAACACATTAATGGAAAAATGCATATAGATACGATATGGGGGTGTAAGGGCTTTGCTTACTTTTGCTGACAAGGGGGAGAAGGGGGTAAATAATTGTAATAAATCTGGTTACGTAATACTTGAACGCCCCCTATTTGACAGTGTTAAATCTGCGAGGTCAACTAAGTCTTACAGTATTACGATTAAATTAAGATTGAAAGATATTTGGATATCTTAAACTCGGAGTTTGTATTACAAAAATATTGGAAACTTCTGACTCAAATTGCAAAAGTCAAATTAAAGGTTTGATAGACTTTGACTTTTAGGTAGCTGTAGTAAGATTCAAGGTTGTGTTATGAATTTTTGATTTAGTTGATCAAGAGTGGTGGATTAACATTGCATGGATTTGTATGTTCGTTTTGCATGGAAATTTTCATTGGAAAACATTAATGGTGAAGGCTCTAAACCTGTATTATCCTTTGTTATTAAGTATTTTTACAAACTGAACTGAAAACTTGTGTAGTAAATTGGAAAGGAGCTCGATGGTGCAGGTGGTTAGTGCATTCGGCCTGCGATCGTGAAAGTTAAGCAACTTTTGTAGTGGTCGGTTATTGGATCGGTGACCAATTATCTCGAGCTCCTCCGTGCTTCGGAAGGCTCGTTAAGCCGTAAGTCCCGGTTGCATCTGCAGTCGTTAGCACCCACCAATCTGCACTGGACTGGCGTAGTGGGTCACCGCCCAGTCTCCCTATTCCTTCCATTAGTAAGACCGGTGCCACATGCAGTGGGGATATTAATAGTAAATTTCTATTTACCATAAAAAATATTGTCATTAAAAATATTCTCTCTAACTATGCCTTAGAATAGGAAAAGGACAAGATGTGATGTGTTTGCGAGTTGATTTTGAAAAGATGCTGTCGACTGTAATGAAAGCACTAATATCTCTAAACATAAATGCCATTCATACTATCTACGGTTGCTATTACTTAATGCGATTCCATTACCCGTCCTAGTTGGTTCATAAGACAGAACCAGATAGCTAATTTTTAATATCATGTATATTAGATAGAATCATGTGCTTCAATTAGAAAAATCATTTAAATGCTTATTCATTATTGTCTTTGTTGCTGTCAGCTTACTTACTAGCCTTGTCAATATCATGTTTAAGCATTTGACGTATAATAAAAACATGTAGACCCACAATCGCGCTCAAAAAGTGTCGGTAGCAAAATTACGCACATTCTTTTATTGTGCGTAATTTTAAAACAGTCTTATTTTGACCTAGCTTTTATTATAATGCTACGCAATGACAAAGTGTTTGTTTACAACTGTGCAAATGACACCTGATCCACGCTTCAGGTAAAATATTCACGGTATTTGGTATTCACGCTTAAAAAACATGAGAGTGACGTGTTTTAGGTACGTGTCCTTTTAAACTAACAGAATTACACAACTATCTTGGCGTTTTCTATCGTATTGAAAATTAAATGCATTTTAAAACTTCAACAAAAATCTCTCCGTCTCTGTGTAAGCAGTGCGCGTCACGTGATCGTGTATCTCTCTCTTGCACCGTAATCAAACTCTTTTGTTGTATAAATTTGTCATTGAACCTTACTGCTACGAGATAACGAGTAAATTTGAACAAATATGTTAATATTATCTGTATAAGTTGATGTATAACTTGTACACACTTGTTAGATGCACTCTTGTTAGGCGAGTGGGAGTCTACTTGTTTCTATACTTCAATGTGTTTAAGTCAAATGACAATCGTACTGACTTGGAAATTTGTTCTAATAGGATATGTCGGATGCGCCCAACCAGACAGTGGACACGGTAGCATTGGAGCAGTACCAACAGTCAATAGCCAAGTAAGAAGAGAATTTTGTTTATTTTCTCTAATTTTGGAAGAAGTAGTATTTCATATTGTCTTTCATTAATAGAATTTTGCTAATAAACAAATGTTATATTCAATCCAGTGTACAAAGATCATGTTGACTTTACTGGCTTGTGAGCCTGAAAATATCGAAAAAGTGGTTATTATTTTCTTTTGTAGAAGAACAGCCGAGTTTTTTTCGCTATAGCTAAATTTGGCACAGATTATCCTTAAGATTCAAAGCACTTTCCGTGCACACGACAAGAAGCAGTCACGCGTAACATAACTTACAGAATGAACTGCAGCCTGCAGGATATCCAGAGCGACATCGCGCGGCTGGCCAGCCAGCAGACGCAACTGCAGCAGCAGCAGCTACAGCAGCAGCAGTTGCAGCAGCAGCACGCGCTCCAGCAGCAGCAACAGCAGCTGCAGCAACAACTGCAGCAGCAGCAGGCGAAGCAGTTGTTCCAGCAGCCGCCACCGCCACAGTCTCCCTTCCAGCATCAGTACCAACCTCACATTCCACAATTAGTGAGTCGCTCTTTGTTGCTTGGTTTTCAAAAACATTCCTAATTACATATCACAAAAGTCTAAACAACAGGCATCATTTACGTAAACTGCAAAAATTATATTATCGTTACGAAATGTATTATTCATTTAATCGTTTTCTTGCTTTAGTCACTAATAAATAAAATTGGTTTTTATTTACCAGAGAATATAAGTATTAAATTTAATAAATATCGGTTGCATGTTCAAAAAAAATCTGATTCTGACTTTTGATGAGTATTCGAAATTTCATGAGTTTGATTCCCAGTTGTAGCAGACGATTTTTTAAATCTGTGAATGCAGTTCCATTTATTATTAAAAATTAAATGATGCCTTCTTTCAGTAAAATATCCTATCTTCAATATTTAATATACGTTCCCTCCGTGTGAGGTAGCCGTGGGACGCCCTGTATATTTCTCTACCTACATGTTTTTCCTGCTTGCTACAACCTAGGATTCTTTTAAAATGTGCTAAGAAGCACTTGACAAGAAGACTGCTTTGACCTGATCATCTGTTTTTGTGTCTAAATTTCATGTACATTTATCATCGGGCGGGATTCAAATATTTGCTCTGAAACATATAAAATCATCACTGTTTAATTTCGTTAAATACTATATCTTAAATTCGATCAAATGCTTATTCATCACACAAACATTTTATTTGGCTCGAACTCACGACCTTGGGGTTAGTACTTGTCCTATTAGCCGTCTGATTTGGTTTAAATGTGCTGTGCGTTTGTGCGAGTGGCGGCTTTCAAACACAATATTATGTACTGGAAATCTAAAATATAGGATACAAAGTCCTACGCTGTCAAAATAAGGGATGATGCTCACCGGGTACAAAGAATATTAACAATTAATCTATGTATGTGAATTTGTATGTGATTGTATGTGAAATAAAGACACCATTGCCGCTTCAATACTGCTTCAAATGTTCACTTGAATATATAAACCGCATTGCTGATTGCCATGATTGTATTCCTTACCACAAAGGCAACTAATTTAAGTCTATATTTTTATAAATGAATTGCTTAATAAATTTTTTATACAAATAAATACAAAATTTAATTAAAATTTGGTAAAATTTAAAATAAATATAACTGCTACGAAAACATTATTATATTAATTAAGGAAGGTAACTGCACAAAAACTCGTTTGAACACTTTTCGAAACTACCTTGCGAACGATCCCTCACGGCACCTTATAATCTCTAAAATGAGATAAGCACCCATGGAATAAATAAAAAATCGTGTCAACGTTTCGTCATATTTTTTTTATATTTTCGCGTTACAATAAAGTGAAACCATAAAACAGATTTTGTCTATTTCTTTGCGATTTTTTGGTAGCGTTATTTTTTTTAATAACCACGCTCATAACGGCGTTCCAATTTATATTTTTATCTATTCCGTGTCAGCATCGCACCTAACCGTAAAGCCGTCAGCTATCGCTTGTTAAAAGCGGCCGCGATCGGTCCGTGGGCTAACGGCACCGCGTCGTATTGCAGCACAGCCAATTCAGCTCACAGCACAACCTGACGCGAGCCGCGCTCGCGGGCGGGTTCGGCTCCACGCCGCACCTGCCGCGCGACCTGCACTACCGCGACTACCGAGACTACCCCGAGCGGGAGCAGTCCCCGCCGCGACACTACCGCGACATCGACGACCGCTTCTATCTGCACGACTCGCCCGCGCCCGCGCCCGCGCCCGCGCCTCTACCGCGACGCACCTGGGCGCAGCACGCGCAGGACAACCGCGACCGGAGCGCGGGCTGGCAGGTGTGTATCTACCGCGACAGGAGCGCGGGCTGGCAGGTGTGTATCTACCGCGACAGGAGCGCGGGCTGGCAGGTGTGTATCTACCGCGACAGGAGCGCGGGCTGGCAGGTGTGTATCCACCGCGACAGGAGCGCGGGCTGGCAGGTGTGTATCTACCGCGACAGGAGCGCGGGCTGGCAGGTGTGTATCCACCGCGACAGGAGCGCGGGCTGGCAGGTGTGTATCTACCGCGACAGGAGCGCGGGCTGGCAGGTGTGTATCCACCGCGACAGGAGCGCGGGCTGGCAGGTGTGTATCTACCGCGACAGAAGCGCGGGCTGGCAGGTGTGTATCTACCGCGACAGGAGCGCGGGCTGGCAGGTGTGTATCCACCGCGACAGGAGCGCGGGCTGGCAGGTGTGTATCCACCGCGACAGGAGCGCGGGCTGGCAGGTGTGTATCTACCGCGACAGGAGCGCGGGCTGGCAGGTGTGTATTTACCGCGACAGGAGCGCGGGCTGGCAGGTGTGTATCTACCGCGACAGGAGCGCGGGCTGGCAGGTGTGTATCTACCGCGACAGGAGCGCGGGCTGGCAGGTGTGTATCTACCGCGACAGGAGCGCGGGCTGGCAGGTGTGTATCTACCGCGACAGGAGCGCGGGCTGGCAGGTGTGTATCTACCGCGACAGGAGCGCGGGCTGGCAGGTGTGTATCTACCGCGACAGGAGCGCGGGCTGGCAGGTGTGTATCTACCGCGACAGGAGCGCGGGCTGGCAGGTGTGTATCTACCGCGACAGGAGCGCGGGCTGGCAGGTGTGTATCCACCGCGACAGGAGCGCGGGCTGGCAGGTGTGTATCTACCGCGACAGGAGCGCGGGCTGGCAGGTGTGTATCCACCGCGACAGGAGCGCGGGCTGGCAGGTGTGTATCTACCGCGACAGGAGCGCGGGCTGGCAGGTGTGTATCCACCGCGACAGGAGCGCGGGCTGGCAGGTGTGTATCTACCGCGACAGGAGCGCGGGCTGGCAGGTGTGTATCTACCGCGACAGGAGCGCGGGCTGGCAGGTGTGTATCTACCGCGACAGGAGCGCGGGCTGGCAGGTGTGTATCTACCGCGACAGGAGCGCGGGCTGGCAGGTGTGTATCTACCGCGACAGGAGCGCGGGCTGGCAGGTGTGTATCTACCGCGACAGGAGCGCGGGCTGGCAGGTGTGTATCTACCGCGACAGGAGCGCGGGCTGGCAGGTGTGTATCCACCGCGACAGGAGCGCGGGCTGGCAGGTGTGTATCCACCGCGACAGGAGCGCGGGCTGGCAGGTGTGTATCTACCGCGACAGGAGCGCGGGCTGGCAGGTGTGTATCCACCGCGACAGGAGCGCGGGCTGGCAGGTGTGTATCTACCGCGACAGGAGCGCGGGCTGGCAGGTGTGTATCCACCGCGACAGGAGCGCGGGCTGGCAGGTGTGTATCTACCGCGACAGGAGCGCGGGCTGGCAGGTGTGTATCTACCGCGACAGGAGCGCGGGCTGGCAGGTGTGTATCCACCGCGACAGGAGCGCGGGCTGGCAGGTGTGTATCTACCGCGACAGGAGCGCGGGCTGGCAGGTGTGTATCCACCGCGACAGGAGCGCGGGCTGGCAGGTGTGTATCCACCGCGACAGGAGCGCGGGCTGGCAGGTGTGTATCTACCGCGACAGGAGCGCGGGCTGGCAGGTGTGTATCTACCGCGACAGGAGCGCGGGCTGGCAGGTGTGTATCTACCGCGACAGGAGCGCGGGCTGGCAGGTGTGTATCTACCGCGACAGGAGCGCGGGCTGGCAGGTGTGTATCTACCGCGACAGGAGCGCGGGCTGGCAGGTGTGTATCTACCGCGACAGGAGCGCGGGCTGGCAGGTGTGTATCTACCGCGACAGGAGCGCGGGCTGGCAGGTGTGTATCCACCGCGACAGGAGCGCGGGCTGGCAGGTGTGTATCTACCGCGACAGGAGCGCGGGCTGGCAGGTGTGTATCCACCGCGACAGGAGCGCGGGCTGGCAGGTGTGTATCTACCGCGACAGGAGCGCGGGCTGGCAGGTGTGTATCTACCGCGACCGGAGCGCGGGCTGGCAGGTGTGTATCTACCGCGACCGGAGCGCGGGCTGGCAGGTGTGTATCCACCGCGACAGGAGCGCGGGCTGGCAGGTGTGTATCTACCGCGACCGGAGCGCGGGCTGGCAGGTGTGTATCTACCGCGACCGGAGCGCGGGCTGGCAGGTGTGTATCCACCGCGACAGGAGCGCGGGCTGGCAGGTGTGTATCTACCGCGACAGGAGCGCGGGCTGGCAGGTGTGTATCTACCGCGACAGGAGCGCGGGCTGGCAGGTGTGTATCTACCGCGACAGGAGCGCGGGCTGGCAGGTGTGTATCCACCGCGACAGGAGCGCGGGCTGGCAGGTGTGTATCTACCGCGACAGGAGCGCGGGCTGGCAGGTGTGTATCTACCGCGACAGGAGCGCGGGCTGGCAGGTGTGTATCCACCGCGACAGGAGCGCGGGCTGGCAGGTGTGTATCTACCGCGACAGGAGCGCGGGCTGGCAGGTGTGTATCCACCGCGACAGGAGCGCGGGCTGGCAGGTGTGTATCTACCGCGACAGGAGCGCGGGCTGGCAGGTGTGTATCCACCGCGACAGGAGCGCGGGCTGGCAGGTGTGTATCTACCGCGATAGGAGCGCGGGCTGGCAGGTGTGTATCCACCGCGACAGGAGCGCGGGCTGGCAGGTGTGTATCCACCGCGACAGGAGCGCGGGCTGGCAGGTGTGTATCTACCGCGACCGGAGCGCGGGCTGGCAGGTGTGTATCTACCGCGACCGGAGCGCGGGCTGGCAGGTGTGTATCTACCGCGACCAGAACGCGGGCTGGCAGGTGTGTATCCACCGCGACAGGAGCGCGGGCTGGCAGGTGTGTATCTACCGCGACCGGAGCGCGGGCTGGCAGGTGTGTATCTACCGCGACCGGAGCGCGGGCTGGCAGGTGTGTATCTACCGCGACCAGAACGCGGGCTGGCAGGTGTGTATCCACCGCGACAGGAGCGCGGGCTGGCAGGTGTGTATCTACCGCGACACGTGCTGCTAGCAGAGCAGACTCGTCACAAATCGAGAAAAAAAATATGTGATCCAATAGGGGTGAAAAGCATGCAAGGTAATTTGATCTAAAACAATGGCTACTGGATTTTTTACTGCCTTGTGAAAATTTAGTTCAACTGTGATAAATTGTCAAAATGACAACTTAAAATCAACATCAATAAATAAAACATTAAATATTGTAATCACTTTTACACGCATGGGCTGTCACTCAACGGCATTCAACTGCTTATCTATAAAAAAGCACACAATGGTGGAGGATTATACTCAAAATGTACCATTTTTACTTCCAAAACATACAATTTTTTATAGCTTTTCTTTTTGTGATGTAACAACGCAGTATTTATAAGGGAACTTGTAAACAACGGAACCTAAAAAGAGTCCGTAATGCCAAGAATTATATAAAAATACTGTTTCTAAATTAGATTTTAATAGGGTATTTGACAAGTTTTAGAAAACCATCGATATATACTCATATCTATGGGATCCATAAAAAGTGGATATTCATCATTCTGTGGAGTATTTCAGTAAAAATAACTAAATCCAAAATTCCATTTTCGAATTGCCGCGAAAGACAAATCTCTGAACAATATCGGCGTCTCACTGGTATGTGACGTCACACGTTTGTCATTAAAACGTCAAAAGATACAATGTAATGTCACTATAACCGGAATTTATTAGCGTGTGACGTCATTAAAGGCTCCGCCAATCCCAGGCTGTTTCAGTCACGTGACAATAGATAAGAAAACTATTATCTTTTTAGTTGTTTTTTAACAAAATTATTAATATTTCTTCTGTTAAAAATAGTAATAACCCCTACCAATATTCATTCTAAATACAGATGCTAATAGTTGGCACCTTATTTTTAACACTGTCAAAAACCCTATTACTTTATTTAGTAAGGCCCACTTGCAGCAAATTTGCCAAATCTCGATTCAATTAAAACTGGATTGAACCCAGAGAAAAATAACAAAATGACAATGTCAATTTGTCATTATTTTATGGGCTAAATCTAGTTGCAGTTAAATCGAAATTTGTTGCTAGTGGGCCTAAGTTTATGGTAGCGAGTATGGAATTTCATAAAACACACAAGTAAGTGGTAAACGCAATTATTTTCGCGGAGAATGACCTGGGGGCCAATCGCCTAACGGAAATGCTTTGGAAAACGCTAACGCTTACGATTTTATTTTGTTATTTCTAGCCGCCTGAGGTATTCAAATGCCTCGCGCTATTTCTTTTTCTTTTGCATTGGTAATAACAATATTAAAAAAAATGAGCGTGAGGTATTCGAAAACCTCAGGCGGCTAGAAATAACAATATAAAATCGTAAGCGTTAGCGTTTCCCAAAGCATTTCCGATAGGCGATTGGCCCCCTGTTTTGTAGCCTCGACTTTGTAATTTTAGCGTTCCAGAAATAACATTAAGAGTCTCAGCTATTAATATCCCGTGTGTTGCGTGTTATAACAGCAGCAGCAACAACAACAGCCGCAACAGCAACAGAACCAATTCACCGCGGGCAATGTGGCGGATCGCACGTGGAAGTCTCCATCGCCGCAGCCGCCTGATCGATGGAACCCGCAAGGTTTCATGCTGCACGACCGACCTTCACAACCTTTCCAAGTAAATACACTAATAGGTGTTCGGCCAAACCTTTTTTTCATCATCATCAGCCTAATAATCAATCAATCAATCAATCAATCATTTATTTATTTTTCTCTCACATGAAAATAAAGTTCTTATAGTATACCACTTGTGGTTTACAATATGTTATAGTATTGTGAGAGACTGGTGCCTGAATTAGGTTTCAGTGAAACCTGTGACACAGGTCACCAGGACCCTCCCGCTGACTACATACATAATAAAAACAGGCTATGACGTGACTTGAGGCTTAAGTAATGTTAGGTATAATTTTAAAAACTTTATGCTTATTTTAGGTAACTGTTGCAGAGTACATTTACATATTAAATATTTAATTTATATATATATATACCTACATATATAAAAGTACATATATTACACAAATTACACAATGTAAACAATATTAATCAACATTTAGTAAGAGTATGTGTATATTTGTGTGTGTGTGTATGTGTGAGAATGAGTGAACACTAATGGGGGCCAGCACATCGGGAAGCGGAATCAAATAGTGGGCAACCTGGACAGACAAACTACTTAAGAGGATAATGTTCCCACTGCTGGGGCACAGGCCTTCCCTATGGATGGAATAGGGAGATTGGGCCATGACCCACCACGCGGGCCCAGTGCGGATTGGTGGGTGCTAACGACTGCAGATGCAACCGGGACCAACGGCTTAACGTGCCTTCCGAAGCACGGAGGAGCTCGAGATAGTAAATTTTTGGTCACCCATCCAATGACCGACCACTGCGAAAGTTGCTTAACTTCAAAAATCGCAGCTGGACGCGCTAACCAATTGCGCCATCGAGCTCCTCAACCTTTTTTTTTTATAAAAAAAAAAACTTTTTTTATAACTTTTTAATATAAACACCCTGGCACCTTTTTAACGTGTTTTTAAATTTATATTTTTATACGTCAGTCTGTCTGTCTGTTTGACACCACTACTCTCTATTACTTACTTGTGTCATATGGCTTGTGTTATTTTTTATAACTCTCATATATTATTATATATCTTGTAGCTTATACACTGTGTGTTTTCTTCTCTCCTAAGTTATAATAATAGGGAATATGCATGATTTTATTTTTTATTATTTTCATTGAGTAGTTTACATCTCCTTTATACAATTTTAATAAAAAACGTATGGTATTTAAACAAATGTTTAAAAGAATAGGCACTTTGCATGCTTTTAGCTTTGCTGTTTAAACGCGCTATTTTGGTACGCTTAGTGATGTGACAAAGTGTCGTCACGATGTTAGTAAAAGTTCCAATCACCTAAGAGATTAATCACGAACATCTTATTAACAAGTCACAGGCTGTATAAAAACTAATCGTGCGCTTGTAAAGTAAAAAAAAAAAAATGTTAAAAAAATTATAATATGTGAAATGCAATTCGCTCTCGTTCAAAACATTTTTAATTATTTTCTCAATTATTTTCTCAAAGACAGTGATAAAAATTAATATGCCCACCTCGGTAGCAACTCTATTACTCGACCTTATTGTTGCTCCGCCCTGCAGCATTCAAAGAACGCTCTCGCCTTTTGAGATAATAATAATATTTTTTTTATTGCTTTTTCATGTACTCGTAGGTGCACAGAGGTGTTACAAAGCATTCATTGAGATCTTTACATGAACCCGGTTAGGGTACTGTAATGTGCTTTAGAGAGCTTGATATTTTTTTATAAATAAACGAGTTTAAATCACATAAAAAAAAACTTACTTCTCAATAAAATTAACAAAATTCCATGTCATAAAAATTTTATAAAATAAATTAAACATTATATTATAAAATAAATTATATTACATTAAATTACTAACAAACATAAATTCCTTGTCATTAAAATGCTCAACGTGTATAGTAGCTTTTAGAACAAAGGAGCTTTTTCAATTTGTTTTTAAACCCAGTCAGACAACTCTCATTTTTTTTAAAACAATAGCAATCTGTTGTATATTTTGACACAAATTGCAAAAGGGCTACTTTGGACCAATTTGAGTTTAGATGTTGGTAGAGCCAATTTGTTATGAGGACGTTAGTTATGCGGTCGCGATAATTCTCTGCTCCCTTACCAAACTATCTGGTATTAACTGTGTACAGGTACAGTATAGTGGCGAGAGGTATCAGAACGGCGTGGAGGAGCACAACCACCTCAGCTACACCGTGCAGCCCCACGCACCGCCCACGCCCACTCCCACGCCCACCGCTACGCCCACGCAGCACCAGCGACGGTAATATGACGACCTTACACAGGTACAGTACAGTGGGGAGGGGTATCAGAACGGCGTGGAGGAGCACAACCACCTCAGCTACACCGTGCAGCCCCACGCACCGCCCACGCCCACTCCCACGCCCACCGCTACGCCCACGCAGCACCAGCGACGGTAATATGACGACCTTACACAGGTACAGTACAGTGGGGAGGGGTATCAGAACGGCGTGGAGGAGCACAACCACCTCAGCTACACCGTGCAGCCCCACGCACCGCCCACGCCCACTCCCACGCCCACCGCTACGCCCACGCAGCACCAGCGACGGTAATATGACGACCTTACACAGGTACAGTACAGTGGGGAGGGGTATCAGAACGGCGTGGAGGAGCACAACCACCTCAGCTACACCGTGCAGCCCCACGCACCGCCCACGCCCACTCCCACGCCCACCGCTACGCCCACGCAGCACCAGCGACGGTAATATGACGACCTTACACAGGTACAGTACAGTGGGGAGGGGTATCAGAACGGCGTGGAGGAGCACAACCACCTCAGCTACACCGGATGTTTTTATGATGAATACCAGCATTTGTACTCCAGTCATGGATTAAGAGAGGCGTGGAGATGCAACATGCAGGCCAGCAAGGTGAGGATGGCTGGTGTAGCAGGTAGACCTGCTGTATCAGCTATCTTCACTTCTGAACTTCACCGTCACTTAACATCAGGTAGGGCGAATCATTTGTCGGCCTATCTATAAAATATAATAATAATATGTATTTCTATATCAATACACTTATGCTGTGCTCTCGTCTCGGTCTCGAGCCTTGTCTCGTGGGTCTCGATCGCTTGTCGGTTCTTGCGCCCGAGTCATAAGATCTTGTTAGAATTCGAGAAGAAAATGAGAGCAACTATGTACGCGACGAGTGCCTCCTCTGGTGAGACTCTCGATGAGAGACTCAGCGCGTGTGCACAGCAGCCAATGTAAATCATGCGAATCGATACATTCCATGTATTACCGACTTCAATAACGCGTTTCTCTATTCGGTTCGAATTTTTAGCGTGTCATTATTCTTGTGGCAGGAGTAAAACGCCGCTGAGACAGGGCAGTGAAGGGGGGCCGGGCCCGGGAGGGGGAGCGCCCGACGATATGGAGCCCCAGAACATCTCCTTCATCGGCAATGCGGACGACGACGCCCTCAGACAGGTAATTAAAAAAAAAACCAAGATTCCACGTGCAATAGTTTTTTTAGTTTTAGTTTTTTGGACCAGTTTTAGAAAACGATGTCACGTTATTGACTAATGTTTATGGAGTCCGTAAAAAGTGGATTTTCATCATTCAGTAAAAATAACCAAATCAAAAACTCTATTTTCAAATGCCGCGAAAACGTTTTTCTGGACAATATGGCTTCTTACTAGTGTGTGACGTCACACGACTGTTATTAAAACGTCAAATGATACAATGTAATGTCACTTTAACTGGAAGTTTACTAGCGTGTGACGTCATTTTAGGCTCCGCCAACGACAATAGATAAAGAAAACTTATATTTTTCGTGGGTTTTTAGTGATTATATTGAATATTTTTTTATAAAAATAGTAAAAACCCCTGCCAATATTCATTCTAAACACAGATGCTAACAATTGGTACTTTATTTTTAATACTGTCAAATACCCTATTATTGGACCATTGTGCGTGTCTCAAAACATTCCCATTTACTCCAGCCAGCCTAAGTTAGTCTAGAAGGAAAGCAGCTTTGGTAGACTTCTGCAAGCTTCCGGAAGCGAATCTGGCGACTGAAGAAGTCGTGCTTGTCGGTCGGCCACACTCCTGCATTCTATGATGGTGGCGTTTCTTCTGCCTCCATACATCCTCTGCATAGGGGACTGTCTGTTACTCCTATTGTATATAGGCGTTTGTTAAGGGGATAATGGCTGCAATCAGGATTCCTATAATCTTGCGGAGTTAGTCCCTATTTATTCTGGTAATAATAACAAATATTCATCATCATCAGCTTATTAATGTCCCCACTGCTGGGGCACAGGCCTTCCCTATGGATGGAATAGGGAGATTGGGCCATGACCCACCACGCGGGCCCAGTGCGGATTGGTGGGTGCTAACGACTGCAGATGCAGCCGGGACCAACCGCTTAACGTGCCTTCCGAAGCACGGAGGAGATAGTAAATCCAATGACTGACCACTGCGAAAGTTGCTTAACTTCAACGATCGCAGCCGAAAGCGCTAACCACTTGCACCATCGAGCTCCTAAATAATAACAAATATTAGAAGGACGTATTTCAAACAATAAATCTGCATGTGCTACCTTTTTCGAGTGAACGTAGTATAAATCGTGTCATTTAAGAAACGAATCGTAAATGGTGACGTCATTCTGTCTTTCTCGCACATGCTATCCTAAGTTACGTGCGAGAGAGACAGAACGTCTTGCGTCGGCATTATCGAATATGATTGAAATATGGTGAAAGTTTGAATTATTGCCTGGATAGAGACAAAAGATATTTTATCTTTGAAAAATTTTAGGTTGCTATAGGATTCTCAAAAATTAACTTACGTGAAGAAGAGCCGCCCGCTAGTATACTTAGTCATTATTTATATCAAATGTAATGTCCTCTTTACTTGCACTTTGTATTTGCCATTGTATTCGTTCAGAAATCGCTGTTTAAACTCAACTGTCTCTGCGTGGCGCCGATCGCGCTTATATACGCCAATCGACGCATTCTAGAAAAGTCCCGGTAAATTGAGAGTTTACTAGCACCCGCGAGTGTGTAGTACTAACTTATACGCAGGTAACGCGCTTAAGTTGTAAACAAGTGCAGTTGTCATTGCACTTTCTCCCTTACTCCGCACTGCATAAGGCTCATATTAGAATGAGCCGCACCGCTCAACCTTTACCGCGATCCGCGGTGTTATGGTAAATTCGGTCTCTGGTTTTTTCGCGGTTTTGTTTTGAGAGCGTTTGTGACAATATGTTTAACGCGTATCGTAAATACACACGCAGGGCATCAACAGGCTGCACATATCGTCGGGCACTCGTACATACCGCATCCCGTCGCCCACTCGGCCGTCGCTCGGCCGGGCCTCCTTCACCCAGCCCGAAGAGGACAGCAAGCCCGAGAAGGGCTTCTACATCTCCTTCGACAACGAACAGCCCAAGAGGCCGAAGCCCCCGCTCAGGGCAAAGCGAGGCTCGCCCAAGAAGGACAAGTCGGACTCGCAGAGCCCCGAACGGACGCCGGAGGATACGTGGGACGAAATGGAAGAGCGGAGGTATGATTCACTGTCATTCATTAATATTAATAAATAAATGAAAACCAATTGTTTTATTATGGATGGCTTTAATTGATTTTGGTTATTGCAATACTCTGGCAATGTCTGTCTTCAGTATTTTCGCGGTTTTGTTTCGAGAGCGTTTGTGACAATATTATACCTAAATAAATTTTAGTTTTAAGTTTTATTAGTTTATTCAATCATATTAATTTTGAAAATAAGAGTTTCATTTTTAGCACGTACCACACTGGCTCCGCTCACTTTCTTTAGATGTCGTTACTTTTTAATATGAATCCGCATCCGTAAAAGTTCATTTGATGCTTAATAATCGAAACAATCCAGCCGGCCTATTCGGAAATATTTTTGACATTAAAGTGTGTAATTAAAAAGAAGATTGCGTATCCATCAATGCTTTTCAGAACAGTTATCCTAGTGGTGTTCTAATAAAGAAGTAGTTGATCACTAAACAGCTCGGTGATTATCACTTCCATCTGTCAAAAGCGGTTAGCGAATAGGCCTACTGATTAAAAGTGATTATTTGTATTTGCAGACGGTATCCGGAGACGCAGTCTGCGGCGCATGCGGAGGCGATGCGGGGCACGGACGCGGGGCGGGTGCCCGGCGACGTGAGCGCCGCTCGCGAGCCGGCCGCGCGAGACTATGCGCGCGCCCACTCCCCGCCCGCCGCGATCGTGATCGCCGACCCCGACCCCGACCCGGTATGTAGGTAGTTATATGACCCGGCGCCGCATATAGAGGCGGGGCGGGTGCCCGGCGACGTGAGCGCCGCTCGCGAGCCGGCCGCGCGAGACTATGCGCGCGCCCACTCCCCGCCCGCCGCGATTAATTTTATTGTTGAAGTATTTGGCATTAGTAACTGGGTATTACTCATGGACGGGACACAGCTAAAAATCAGTATCTGGTTTCCCAAAAGAACATTCCACATTGAGCTATGTTATCCTTTTGATGCTGCTGCAACATAATTAAGATTTCTGTTTTTAAGCTTTGTAATGGGAAATAAGGAAAAATTTACGTCACCAGTCGGCGCCACTGTGATATTAGGTCTTTCGTATGAAGTTAATATGACGAAATAGTTGATTGATAGACGAGTAGACCTTTCGGCTTAGTGCTGTCACTCGGCGCCCGTCATTCCAGAAATCCCTCATTATGTTTGACTTAACTCCAAATTGTTATGTTGTAATTTCCTTGATTTTCCCGTGTTGTGGTATATTTAATAAGTATTGTGTTTGTGCAGAATTCGGCGGAGGAGATGGAACGCAAGAAGGAGCGCATCATGCTACTGTCGCTGCAGCGACGGCAGCGAGCCGAGGAGGCCCGAGTGAGGTCCGAGCAGGCGGCCAACGAGCGCCGCGCCCGCGAGCAGGCCGCCGCCGAGCTGCGCGCGCGCCGCCGCTCCGAGCAGGCGCGCCGCCGGGACCTCATCCTGCACCAGTACAAGCTCAAGAAGGCGGCGGAGGAGGCCGAGCGGGAGGTATGTGCCGGCGTCACCGAGCCCGAGTGAGGTCCGAGCAGGCGGCGGAGGAGGCCGAGCGGGAGGTATGTGCCGGCATCACCGAGCCCGAGTGAGGTCCGAGCAGGCGGCGGAGGAGGCCGAGCGGGAGGTATGTGCCGGCATCACCGAGCCCGAGTGAGGTCCGAGCAGGCGGCGGAGGAGGCCGAGCGGGAGGTATGTGCCGGCGTCACCGAGCCCGAGTGAGGTCCGAGCAGGCGGCGGAGGAGGCCGAGCGGGAGGTATGTGCCGGCATCACCGAGCCCGAGTGAGGTCCGAGCAGGCGGCGGAGGAGGCCGAGCGGGAGGTATGTGCCGGCGTCACCGAGCCCGAGTGAGGTCCGAGCAGGCGGCGGAGGAGGCCGAGCGGGAGGTATGTGCCGGCATCACCGAGCCCGAGTGAGGTCCGAGCAGGCGGCGGAGGAGGCCGAGCGGGAGGTATGTGCCGGCGTCACCGAGCCCGAGTGAGGTCCGAGCAGGCGGCGGAGGAGGCCGAGCGGGAGGTATGTGCCGGCATCACCGAGCCCGAGTGAGGTCCGACCAGGCGGCGGAGGAGGCCGAGCGGGAGGTATGTGCCGGCATCACCGAGCCCGAGTGAGGTCCGAGCAGGCGGCGGAGGAGGCCGAGCGGGAGGTATGTGCCGGCATCACCGAGCCCGAGTGAGGTCCGACCAGGCGGCGGAGGAGGCCGAGCGGGAGGTATGTGCCGGCATCACCGAGCCCGAGTGAGGTCCGAGCAGGCGGCGGAGGAGGCCGAGCGGGAGGTATGTGCCGGCATCACCGAGCCCGAGTGAGGTCCGACCAGGCGGCGGAGGAGGCCGAGCGGGAGGTATGTGCCGGCATCACCGAGCCCGAGTGAGGTCCGACCAGGCGGCGGAGGAGGCCGAGCGGGAGGTATGTGCCGGCATCACCGAGCCCGAGTGAGGTCCGACCAGGCGGCGGAGGAGGCCGAGCGGGAGGTATGTGCCGGCATCACCGAGCCCGAGTGAGTGCAGCAGGCCCGAGTGAGGTCCGAGCAGGCGGCGGAGGAGGCCGAGCGGGAGGTATGTGCCGGCATCACCGAGCCCGAGTGAGTGCAGGAGGCCCGAGTGAGGTCCGAGCAGGCGGCGGAGGAGGCCGAGCGGGAGGTATGTGCCGGCATCACCGAGCCCGAGTGAGTGCAGGAGGCTTCACAGTATTTGACCTTATTTTTAAGATACACAACAGACTTTATTACTAGCAAATTTTCATTAATTTCTTCATACTACTGCAGCTGACCCGGTAAACTTCGTACTCGTCCTTCTAGCTGTATGTGCTGTGTGTATTATTTCACCGATAACACTCTTTTAATGTCTCATTAATTTCTAACATGTTCTACATCCATTTGCATAATTTGAGGAGACCGATATCGCAAGTGGTTAGAACGTTCAGCTACGACCTACCACTACGAAAGTTCAGCAATTTTCGCAGTGGTCGGTCATTGGATGGGTGCCCAAAAATTTGCTGTTTCGAACTACTTCAGAAGGCACGTTAAGTCGGTGGTCCCGGCTTCATTTCCACTCGCTAGTACCCACCAATCCGCATTGGACCCGCGTAGTGGATATTTGGCCCAATCTCCCTGTTCCATCCATAGGAAAGGCCTGTACTACATCAGCGGGGATATGAATAGGCTGATGATGATTCGTCTAACTTATAATGAACAATTCAGCCATCATTTTTATAATAACTCTAAGGCTCGTATTACAGAACGACAACTAAATGTTGATCTTTACTTAAGCATAGTTGGAAAGGGATGTCGCTATATGTAGCACTTAGCGACATCTCTTTCTAACTACGCTCAAGTAAAGATCAACACTTAGCTGTCATTCTGTAATACGGGCCTAAATTACGTTTGTGATTTCCTCCTCCAGGGTAAAGTGTTAGACAAGAGTGAGTTCGCCGAGTCCCTCCGCAGTGGGGGAACAGGCAGCCCCGCGGGTGGGGGAGGGGGAGGGGGAGGCGCGAGACTGAGAGGGAAAGCGGCCCCCCCGAGGGCCAGACCGAAGACGATCCATGTCGATTCCACCGCGCTGCACGCCGCTGCCACGCTGCCTGGTAATATAGCCATGACTCGATCATATAACACAGGGGGGGGGGGCAGAATGAGGGGGGAGATGACTCCCCCAAGGGCTTCTACCACTTCTTAGCCGGCAAGGTAGCTTGTAAGAAATACAACAAGAAATTCGATACGGCCATTAAGGTCGCGGTAGCATCCGCCCGGATAGCGGAGGTTGCGGGTTCGAGTCCCGTCTGCTGCCTGAACCGCGTGGAATATTTTGTAGTAAAATTTTCCTTTGATTTAATATATAATAAATCTTTCAAGAAGTCAACGAAGAACTATACAATTCACACATCAGATCTGAACACACGACAGACTATACAAGTTTTGTTTTTATGTCCAATGAATTTAGTTCAACCTGTGTCGCAATGCCGCACTAAATGTAAGCTTGTCCCCATTTCCTATGCAACATCGGATTAACCGAAGTGTTTAAGGCTACTTTATCCCCTATCGCATGTGCCTAGTTTTCGATGTATTTTTTATATAATTTCCTCACCATACAAAGTGAACCAAAATTAGTCTCCAATCCAATAACAACCTTATTGTGTTGGAAATAAACTCTACAATCTGTTGGGAAAATTTCGTGATTGTGTGGTTACCTTGTATGGTTCCTGAAATCGATATAAATAATCTGCCTTTTTTAAAAACGTAATAGGGTATTTGACAATATAAAAAATAAAGTGCCAATTGTTAGCATCTGTATTTAGAATGAATATTAGCAGGAGTTTTTACTATTTTTACAGAAAAAATATTCATAATTTTACTAAAAACCCACGATAAAGATAATAGTTTTCTTGTCTATTGTCACGTGACCCAAAACGCTTTGGATTGGTGGAGCCTAAAATGACGTCACACGCAAGTAAACTTCTGGTTAAAGTGACATTTAATGACAGTCGTGTGACGTCACACACCAGTGAGCCGCCATGTTGTCCAGAGATACGTTTTCCGCGGCAACTTGAAAATAGAGTTTTTGAATTAGTTTTTTTACAGAAATACACAATATAATGATGAATATGTACTCTATAAACACCAGTGAATAACGTGAGATCGTTTTCTAAAACTTGTCAAATACCCTATTGTCGATGGCAGGTAAATTAAATGTTTTATTTTTAATAACGTGTGCTGAATATTAATTTTGCAAATTTTTATTTATTACGCAGCCTTTTACGGTTTTTCTTTGACCTTTCATCTCCGACAATATTAAGATTCAGCATGATGTTATTTATTATCTTGTGTTGTTCGCGCATGTATGTTAGCTTGATGGCTTACGAGCACTAAATGTAAGACAAGCGAGGTGGATTCTTAAATTGTTTATGTAAAATACCTTTTTTTGTTCAGACTTAAAATAACAATATGAATAAAACAAGTTTCAACGGTATAGATGCACTGATTTATTTATTTATTGACGTTTCGCATTCTGAAAAGGAAGTCGTCTGAATTATCATATAATTCAGTCGATGCATCATGAAAATTATCGAATATTGAATGAGAGTAAAAACCTGGAAAACAAATAAACAATATAGATATTAGGCAGTTCTGTTGAATTGATTGATTTGTTAAATTGGCGATTGGCCTTCTTTTGTTCGTTTTAAAAATATATTTTTCAAAAGACTCCATTGATTAATATCTTCGGATGATTAATGATGGTCTACTTGGTCCTTCGAGTAACATTCAACTCTTGCCTGTTTATCTATTCACAGAATTTAATTGTTTATATTCTTTGGATGAATTATGACGTTTGAACTGGCTCATCTTTCTTCTCTGTCTGTTAATCTTTCCATAAGATTTCATCATTTACAATCTTTGTGTTCGGGTTGTACCGAAACTAAGATACTGATAAAATGATAAACTTGATAACTTGATAATAAAGTATATTTTGGTAACTAAACAATAACTTAAAACAATATTAATTGATATAAAAATGATTGTTATGAATGAGTACGCGCACGGCTTACTTGATAGCTAATTGGGAACTAACTTGTAAGTAATTGACGATTATTGAAAATAATAAAATAAGGTCAATTAGTAAAATGATGAGCGGGCGATATGTACGTAGCTTGCTCGTACACTTTGGGTGACACATTCCCCTTGACCTAGTCTTTCGAGTAAATTTCAATTACTGAACTCTTCATCTTTTCACAAAACTTCATTGTTTGAAATCTTTGGATGATATATGAACCTCGACTTGGTCCTTCGAGTACTACAATTCTCTTGATATATCTATTTACATTTAGCTATCGTCGTTGCCAAATATGTAATACTAGACGTGCTCTGTGGTTTCACTCGCAATAATTTTAGGAGAAGGGTTATAGTGAGTCACTCTAAAATAGACATAGGCAGTCGCGGACATTTTTATTGAGCTTTTAAAGGGCAACAATGCTGTTGTACATGATCGTTTACCCAGCGCACGGAACGAAAGCTCATAAATGGATTTTTTCCCCAGTTTTCACAACATTTTTCATTGATGCTCAGCTCCTATTAATCGTAGCGTTACGTTATACAGCGTTGTAATAGCCTATAGCTTTCCTCTTCACATGCACTATCCAACACTTTTTTTTTAATTGGACCTCGGAGCATTAGTTCGTTGAAACAAACAGACTCTTGAGCTTTATAAATCTTATATATAAAATTCTCGTGTCACAATGTTGCCTACCATACGCCGCCGCAACGGCTTCACTGATTCTTATTAAAATTTTAAATGCATATTCAGTAGGCCTGAGAATCAGCTACTATTTTTCATACCTTTGAGTGATAAGGGTTATTCACCCCCTATATTTATTGTTTATTTTTTCGACAATTTATTTTATAATGTTGCATTAAAAATACGTACAACCCTAAAGTTTCACCTTTCGACCACCTATATTTTTATGGCGACACGAAGTTCGCGTGGCCCAATCTCCCTATTCTATCCATAGGGAAGGCCCTAGCAGTGGTGGACATTAATAGGTTGATGATGAAGTTCACGGGCTCAGCTAGTATCAGTACAGATAGGCGTTAAAAAGAACATTATTAGCATCACGGTGTTGCGCGTAGTCCACCTCGCGTTTGTCGTAAGCCTCGCAAGCTCGCTATGTCGCGGTACTTGACGCGCGGCTCCGATGACAGCGGGTGCTGGTGCGACCGCGGGCGCGGGGTCGGGCGCGACGATGCGGCGCGACTACTACCGCGGCTCGCAGGACAGCCTGGCCGATCGTGCCGCTCTATACCGCGGTTAGTACCCTTATCGACATCGCGCACTGTGACGGCACTGTTCCAATAATGTTTAACAGGTGGGGTAGAGTCATTTGCCTACCTGGCTATACACCGTGTTCCTGAGGATATACATAAACTTTGAATAATACTTCTATAGCTCTTGTTGAACATATCGTACAAAGAAAGTAGTAGTTTAAATAGCATAGTTTTTAAGTTATTGGTGATTTAAGTTTAATCAACTTAATTGTGTTGTTCAGTGAGAATGAGTCTTTATCTGTGAGATGTTGCCACTTTGTGCAACCAAAAACATCAAACTATCAACCCTTTGTCAATGGTCATTAAGTCATAGTTTCAAAAGTCAAAACTTTAAAAAACATTGTTGACGTCAAGAAAAGTTTCAAAAAGTTTATGTGGACATGTGAACCAAGGTTTCAAATGCGACGTTGCCAGCTCAGGTAAACAGTAGTTCATATTAGATAAATTACATCTAAGCATTTAGTTTGTATGAAAATAAAAAATGATAAAAAAAATGGAATTCATAAAAGTGTCCATAGTAAAAAAATGATCAATTTAATAGTCTGAATAACGCGCCAAAGTTAGTGTATAACCTCAGGAACACGGTGTATAAACAAAAAAAAAAATCGTAAAAAAGATACACAATACTTTCCTCTCAAATGAGTACATCGTTTAATATATATTATAATCTATTCGACTTCCTCGGAGACAAATGGTGAACAAACCATGAATAGATTTTAGAAAAAGTGACATTAAAAAGAGCTTAAAGTGTAGCTATTCCCAAAATATGAACGCATTATAATACTACTAAATTGAATTGTAGTGACAAAGCGAATAATTTACGTTAAAAAGCGAAATTTTGTAATCAGTCTGGTTACACCGACCATCTTTATTCTCGATAAAAAAAAGTTTGGTGTACTTACTTACCTTTTGTCTCAGATAAAGTTGAATAGAGTATAACAGGTTTATTCATTAGCGTAAATTGACAAAAACTTTCATCGTCAATTTGTCCCATTTTATTTTACAGTCCATCAAATTTAAGAAGTACCGTTTGACGTTTCATGTTTTTCAAACAGATATAACTTTGTTTAAGCGTAACTTATTCAAATTCGATAACCTTTTTCGTAAAACCATGAATTTATAAAGGTTTTATTATTGGATCTAAAAATGTACAATTCTTAATATCTAAATTTAATTGAAAACTTTCAAACAATGCAAAATAAACAATATTTACACAATAAATAAGTTCTAATAGTTCTATTCTTGACCTCATTGCAAAGTCACATAGTTAGGTCACTGCTCGTAGTGTTGCGACTCTTCGGAATCAATTGTGTACGAAAAAATCGTGTACATTATTCGGAAAATCGAATTTATTACTTTCAAATTATCAATTAACGACTTTGTAAAAATACATGACAGATGACAAAATGATCAAATTTGATGCCTCGGTCCATAATCTACTCAGATTACGATGTTGTAAGCGCTAGAAGCGCTTATGGCCAATGTCAGACCACGGCCAGAAAGCGAATTTTCGACGTAATGTTTAGGGGTAGAGCGCAATTTAATTTTTGTATAATTTCACGTTACTGCTCGATCGCATAATGCATTTAATACATAGGTACCCTAAAATAATTTAATTTAATTATTTTCAAACAAATCTATATAGGCGAAATAGCTCCAGAAAAAAAAATTTTTTTATCAGACAACACTGCCGACCACAATCGCACGCGGTCCCCCTCGCCCGCGTCAGCAGTCTCTCGCCATCTTGGAAGCTGACTGTGCGCGTACCTACTTTCTCGTTTGTGTTTTACAATTTGTGACTTGGCTATTACTTTTCTGGACTCTGAACTAAGCAAGTGTTTATTAATAATGTCGAAAAGAGGACGTACTTTGAACAGCCAGGCTCGTGAATTGGTGGTGAAATTACACGAGTATTTTGAGCGTGAATGTCAAAATGGTGGAGCTCTACTGCCAGTTACACAAGTTCGGGATCGCGTCGGTGAAGCTCTCGGTATTGGTAGCCGCACCGTCGGCAAAATATTAAGCGAAAAATATGGGCCTTCGGGGAGTGACAGTAACGTACTTCACACGCCGAAAAAAAGGAAAAGAACTAAACCTGTGACAGGTATCGATGACTTCGATAGCCATGCTATTAGAAACCATATCTATGGTTATTTTACAAGAGGCGAATTTCCAACATTGGCAAAGTTATGTGCAACTTTAGAAGATGCCGGGCTGTACAAGGGAAGCATAGAGTCGTTGAGAACGATAATAACAGGAATTGGCTTCAGATACAAAAAAGTTGACAAACGAAAAATTGTTATGGAGCGACATGACATAATTATGCAGCGACTAACATTCCTGCGCGAAGTAAAACAAATTATAAACTGGGATAATGTAATATTTTTGGACGAAACATGGCTAAATTCCAACCACTCTGTGCCGAAAACATGGACAGATGATTCTGAAGCTTCGTGCTCGAAAGTGCCGATAGGGAAAGGTGGACGCCTCATTATATGCCATGCTGGATCAGCGTCTGCAGGTTTCGTGGAAAATTCATTATTAGCTTTCCAATCTAAAAGCACAAAAGAGTATCATGAAGAAATGGACGCGGAAAGGTTCCAAGAGTGGTTCTTAAATTTACTAACGAATATCCCTCCTAACAGCACAATTATAATGGATAATGCCCCATACCACTCTGTGCAAATTGATAAAGCACCAACATCAGCCAATAAGAAAGCAGATTTGGTGGCATGGCTGCAAAGAAAAGGAGTGGAAGCCGACATGTCACTATTAAAAGCTGAATTGTTACATTTAGTGAAATTGCATAAACCATCAAGACCGACTTATGCTATTGACCAATTAGCCGAAGAATACGGGCACATAGTCATACGACTTCCTCCGTACCATTGCCAATATAATGCCATTGAACTGATTTGGGCCCAAGTTAAAGGTATAATATAATAATATTTTTTTGTAGTTGATTATATTATTAACAGAAACTTGTTCTTAATAAGCTGAAATATATTGTGAATTGAGATTTTCCGTTAAGTACAGTAATACTATAAAACATTACCCTTCTTTTTCGCAGTTGTGTAAATTGTACATTACCTAACAAAATATTGCAAGATTAGCTTAACACATTTTGTAGCCACATAACACGAGTGCCTCTAGCTTTTATAATTTAAAAAATAGTCAAAGTCTCCCACCTAATAATTATATAATTGTTTTACAGGTTATGCAGCAAGACACAACACAAAACCACCCTTCAGTGTCAAGAAAATGGAAGGCTTATTAAAGGAAGCATGTGCGCAAGTTACACAAGAAAATTGGTCAAAAGTAGTAGAAAAAACAAAGAAAATAATAATGGACGACTTCGACAGAGACGTAAAATTCGATGATTTCATGGATAATCAACTAGTCATTAATTTAAATGACGATGATGACGAGGACGACAATGATTCCAGTACTTGCAGTGAATAAAAAAATATCCTAAACATTACTTTTATTTAAATGCTTCGATTTCGACCTTTAGAACCTTAAGATTTTTTCGGTATTCTATCCTCAGATTACTAGTAAAACCTAAATTTACCAATAAACAACCTTTTACAATAACTTATTAAGAGTACAGAGAAATATTATGTTAAATTTCGGATCTTATGGTCATTGATCTCTTAAAAATCGGATATTATAGTAATCGATCTCTTAAAAATATAGGAAAAGAGTACAGAGAAATATTATCTTAAATTTCGGATCTTATGGTCATTGATCTCTTAAAAATCGGATATTATAGTAATCGATCTCTTAAAATTCAGATATCATAGTAATCGAATTTTTAAAACCCATCCCTATTATTCAATTTGTCAGAACTGTCAAACGGTACTTCTTAGATTTGATGGACTGTAATTATTGTTTTTATTGCGACACAATTTAACCTTTTATGTGTGTTATATGAACTCCCAAAAATGGAATTAGTGGTTTAGATGTAAATACTTTGTTATACTGCATTGGAGCAGTGCCTCTAAAGTGCGCAATATTTATTAAACGTATGCTTGATACCACCTCTTTGTATTCAATATTATGCCATTGGCAGCAATCTCAGAACAATAACTAAAACAAAGAAGTAATGTTATGAATTTTGAGCGTACATACCCATAGACAATAAATTAATAATAAAAACATTTCCATAAAAGTGTTACCCAACCAGAAACTATTAGTAGCATATTGTCAACTTGCCTTTGACAATAGTTTGCTTTTTGATTCTGTATCGTAAAGCTGACGTTTGTATAGTGGTACGCACGCTGTCTATAGCAATATATGCATGTCCCTTTAGTTGGTCTATATGTTGAATAAGATAAATCAGTTTATATTTAACTCATATAAACTTTTTCTATGATTTAGTTTTTCTTCTGAGACACCAAAAAATACTTTTTCGTTGTTATTGCCTTGAGTGTACTAAGCAATGATGATCGAACATGTTGCGCACTTGTTCCAGCCTTAATAATTGATTCAAGTGCCATTTGATTGAAGTTTGTAATCTAGCTGCATAATTAGTATTCAAATTTGCCGTTTCAAAACATATTTGATCATCATCATAAGTCCTGTACTAGATATAAGGCTTAGAACATCAGACTTAGCCACCTATTTTTATTATTTTTGAAAAATAATTAGATTTATTACAGCACGTTTGTGTTTTTCCTTCTAATCACACTACATACATAAAATAATACATGTACACAATCTAGACCTTAATACATACTTTTAACATGGTAAGTAAGGCTTTAGCGATTTATGGTCATACTAGAAATCATATTTTTAATCGATGTAGGTATATTGAAATGTCATTAATTATGTTTTACATGATGCTATGCTGTAATTCAATTTTCAGTGATCAACTTTTTAACAACCAAAGAATTGGCTTAGTTTTGCCCAACACATCTTCATTTGACGACCTCCGTGCCCGAGTGGTATGTACGCCGGGTTTCATGGTGTCGCCGACTCCAGAGGTCCCGGGTTCGAATCCCGGTGGGGGCAGATGTTTGTGTGATGAACACGAGCATTTGTACTCTAGTCATGGATGTTTAATATGTATTTCTATATAAATATACTTATATATGTACAATATATGTATTCTATCCGATACCCTAGCATCCTATAACACAAGCCTTATAGTGCTTACTTTGGGGCTAGGCTGATTGGTGTGTGTTGGAAATACTCTTTTTTTTACGCGTGCGCAATAAAGGTCAGCGCTAGAGTTTCGTGCCGCGACTTTTACTTTCGGAAGTGTAAGCGTGTGCGTAAAATATTGGAGCTACATTCTGTAGTAGTGTATATTCTATTCCACTTCCTTTGAGACAAATGGTAAACATATAAAACAATGTTTAGGCTGGGTTTCCAGGTGTTGCTTACTCTAGAGGTCTCGGGTTCGAGTTCCGGTGGGCGGCTGATGTTTGTATGATGAATGCTCGTAGCATTTGTACTTCAGGCATGGATGTATGTTTTTCTATATAAATATACTTATACAATGTACAATCAGTACTATCATAACTTATACAAACAGTATATGCTTTCTATCCGCAACCCTAGTATCCCATAACATAAGCCTACAATGTTCACTTTGGAGCTAGGCTAGGCTAATTGGTGTGAATGTTGGAACAAAAAATTACTGATGGCATCACATTTCAACATTAATTATTACTCTTCAATTTAGTAGTAGTGTGTCGTTCAAAGATTGGGAATAGGTCCATTTTTAATGTCACATTTTTTAAACTATGTTTTGTTTAACGTATAAATTTCTACCTATTAAAAAAACTTCCGTATGGTTTGTTCACCTCTTGTCTCGGAGGAAGTCGAGTAGAGCATAGTGTAGGTTTGAAAACAATAGTTGCGTGTCAACAGTGACACCGGCAGAGTCTCCAGTGGAAGACCGGGGAGGGATGTCGCCGGGCAGCGCCAGTAGTGGACCGCTTGCTAGGCGGGGCTCCTGCAAGACCTCCAGAGGTCAGTACTGGAACACTCCATGCTTCTACATACATACATAGATACGATACAGTGGCTTGCACGATACCTTTACTTATGTCCTGTGCCAAAACACAACTGAGGAGCTGGCGAACAAAACGGAATAATTACGAATATGGTCAAACTACTTTTTTTTTACAGTCCGGAGGTTTCGGGACCGTAAAATTTGAATATCAAAAAATTTTCAATCAAAATCGCCTAAAACAGTGTTAAAATTACTAAATTTATAAATTGAAAACCATGCCAAAAGCTCACGATAGGTATGTCATTCAGTTTTATACAGTTCCGATAAAATTTAATTTTATGTAATTCTACCGTTTCATTCGCCAGCTCCTCAACTTAAAGTGCGACGACGATATTTATGAATGTGGCGAAAACTGGAACTAACCTGGCCGTCTTTGTAAACGTCATATTTTGTATGTCATTTACGGACACAGTATCGCCCGCCCTATAATGTCTGCCACTTGCATTCATAAAGATGCTTGTCGCACTGTACGGCCAGTTCCAATAGATCAATCTCCAGGAATCTGATTACGAAAAAAAAATTAATATAATAATTGAGGGTGTTTACGAAATTTACGTCACCAGTTGGCGCCGTTGTGGCATAAGGTATTTTGTATGAAGTTTTTGGCCCGAATTAATCGAACGAGCATTTAAATTGATCCATTGACTACGACGACATACGTAATTTGACAGATTAGTAGACCTTTCCGCTCAGTGCTGCCACCTGGCGCCCCTCATGTCAAAATTTGAGCTCAAATGACATCTTTTTCAAAGAATAGGTTATTGAAACCGGCCATTAACAGTATGACAGTGAAATTGAAATTTCACCGACTTATTTACATAAAACGAAACTACCTAATTATTCAAAGAATTTTACATCTGTCAGCAATCCATTACTCTCAAAAAAGAGTTCCTTGTGCTAGTATTGACATAATCGGAATTTTATACCAACTGATTGGCTTATTGTGTCAACACAGATCGCCAAGTTGCAGAAAGACATAAAAATAGTCTCAAGCTAAGAACTTGAAACTACATATATGAAAAAAACACCATTAATCAGTTACACGTATTTGTTCTCATCACTTTAAATATTAACTTGACTACACTCTGTCCTTATCACGCTTTATAAGGATAGACTGATGTCAATTTAAGAAATAGCAAACACGCCAAGTGAAGTTCCCACATAAACTAAATTCCCTACTGGAATTCTAACCAAATAGCTCTGAACAGAAGGCGATTATGTTTATGTTCTATTTTTAATAGCAACAGATAGCCCTACAACAAGGTACACTCGCGGAAAGACCCGCTCTGTCACCCATAATGCCATAATCGCTTGCGGTAGCGGCGTAGTAAAAATTCATTCATAGACATCTAACTATCGCTGTCTTACTTTTTCGTATAGCGCTGTCGCGATCACGATGCGGATGACAAATTGCAACTAAAAAAAATGCAATTCAATTCATTATTCAATCAATGAAATGCTCTCTGTTTGTTCGGCGGCCCGGATTGGCGCGTCCGACGCGAAGGCGGGGTGTAGTAAAAACTACTGTAGAAAACGTTCAAAGCATTTTGTTCGCCAAGTGACAGAGTGCAAAATTCCGCAATAGTACCTCAAACTGTCACATTTCTTCAATAGATTCGAATCTTGTATTTAAAAGGATAAAAGTCACTTGGAGGAGTTTTTCAGTTTTGGATAACTCTATCTGTGGCTATCTGGTCAAATATAAAGCTTGTTTGGTAGGCTTTAACAGCTTTGTCGAAGAAATTTCAATTTTATTGCATTATATAATAAAGGTTATGTTCCTACAGGTCGCATAAATGTCTTCTCTATCTATAACGCCTTTTAGTCGCTAAGCAGTGCACGCCACTGTCCACATTTCATCAATTATTTACGTCATCACCGCTTTATTGGTTAACACTGTTGCCAAACTATATGTTAAGGCACGAACGATATGTATACTCGTTAAAGAAAAAACTTTTACTGTCAATATACATCATCATCATCATCAGCCTATTAAAGTCACCACTGCTGGGGCACAGGCCTTCCCTATGGATGGAATAGGGAGATTGGGCCATGACCCACCACGCGGGCCCAGTGCGGATTGGTGGGTGCTAACGACTGCAAATGCAGCCGGGACCAACGGCTTAACGTGCCTTCCGAAGCACGGAGGAGCTCGAGATAGTAAATTTTTGGTCACCCATCCAATAACCGACCACTGCGAAAGTTGCTTAACTTCAACGATCCCAGCCGAACGCGCTAGCCACCTGCGCCATCGAGCTCCTCGTCAATATACACTCCTTTGAAATAAGACTTTTATATTATTGAAGGTGATAAAGATAAATTAAAACATAGTGTCGATTCTGGTATGATTCTCTAAACCTAAAATTAAATTTCACAACAGTGGATCTTTGAAATGTCGTATTTAATTCAAACGATGGTGTCTCATATATTTTGGCTACAGTGTGAAGTTTGTCGTTTATGCCTTTTGCACACGGAATTAAATTGTACGATTTTGAATGAAAATTAAAACTTATGCGTTGTTTAATATCGTAAATACATGCAATTTAAGGCCGTGTGAACCCAGGCTAAAGCGGTTGTAGTGTTTTGGATAGTTGTTTATCGTACATTGAAAATCTTGGTTTTCATAAAATTTAAACTAGTTTGAATACAACACAATGAAAAACGTCACCACACGAACCATGTCTGAACGTTCGAGTAACTCAAAATATTTTAGTTCATTTGTTGGATATACCACACGATAAAAAGATCTCGAATGTTCAAATTACACCTTCACAGACAGTTACACGTACGAAGCTAAAGATAGATAACCAGTCGTAATATTATAATATAAATTTGCAAAGTATGAATAAATTCACTTTATATAAGGTAATATATTTGATATGAAAAACAGAATATGATCAGAGGCCTAAGCACCAGTTTTTGACAGCTCCGTAATGTATCGCATCGTCAAAGTTCCGTAAGAACAAACGTGCTTTTCCAAAAAAAAAATTACGATTAAGAATTACGATACTTTACGGAGCTGTCAAAAACTCGTGCTTGGGCATCTGTACCCCTAGCACGAACCATTATCGAATTCGAATATTTTGCAAACCGAAATGTCAATGTCAAATTTTGTATGGAAACTTGACCAGCAGCGGCACAAAGTACGTAACGAGAACTAAAAATCAGTACACATTTGACAATGAAATTTCGGTCTCGGAAACGATACGAATTCGATATTGGTTCGTGCTAGGGGTACTGAACTTGGAATAATTTACGACAATAGTTAGCTATCTGATTTGTACTTGATTACTCGAAGGCCTGTAGGCGCCACTAACAGAGTTCGCTTTGCAGTGTTCTGCTTGCCATCCCTCCCACACCATAGCAAGTCAGTCAGCATTGTATTGTTATATTTATAATAATAGGGATGATGACAAATTGTTTTTCTTCGTTTATCAGGTAGATTATCAAAAAGTATTGGATACGTATTTTTACTTTATTCACATAATATAAACATTGCAGAGATATATTGATTTGAAAAGTCGCAGGACGTCACGTTTTAGCACACTTTTAAGTGAAAATTCACTAAAAAGTGACGTCATGAGCCCCTACTCCCAAACTTTGACGTGCTATAACTTTGTCATTTTTTGGTTGATTGCCCAAAGAAAAAATACTTGTCCATTATTTTTTGATCATCTAACTGACGGACTAAATAGAATTTCGTTTACTGTACCCCGTCATCATCCCTTTTATACTGTCAATTTTCAAATATAATTCAGGTTACAATTGGCGATTTGCTGTGGTGCAAATAATGAAAGTTGAGGGCGATAAAATTTTAAAATGATTAAATATAAATGTTAAAATGATTGAAATACATGATTTTGACTATCATCAATCGTCCATATTATTCATCAGATACTTTGAAATATTACAAATCACAATGGACTTGTGATATTTTAAGGTTAGGAAATGTACATTTATTAATGAATTTATAAATATTGTTCACATAATGGACAATTGAATGGGGCAGAAATTTCTACCAAAAGGTTCGCTTGCGTTCAATTGTCCATAAGTGAATTGAATACTGACTGCTCGTAGGCATTGTTCAAAAATGCTTTTTTGATATTTGGTTTGTAGACAGCTTCGTCTTTTTATTTATATTTCTGATTGTTATATTTCTATATGTGTATGATTTCAGCAACGCATAGATAGATACACTCCCAACATGCAAAATTTATGCTTTTTATATTTTATAATTTGGCCGTTTTATGTAGTTTGCAATATGAACAATATGAAGTGTGAGGGCTTAAAGCTTTTTTCCAAATTTCGATCGCCCCCTACCTAGACCTTCCGCGCCATTTGTCAAGAATTGGTTCCCTAAATTTGTACATACGTGTTTATATATATTTTCAACAGTATTCATTCACAGCGTCAGTCTATTGATATTTTTATTAACGCGTTGATAGCATTAATTTTGTTTGCCATAATGTCAGTGTATCGTGATTGCATGCCTACCGGCCGCGTTACGACAACCGCTGTGTCGATCCGCCTTGCATGAGAGTGCCGTGTAATATCGTATAGGAAATATTTCAGAGCGTGTGAATGAGGAACCTCAGGCTCCACGTGGAAGGTCTAAATATTCCACTTACCAGAATAACTTTAAGGCCGGGAGGAAGTCTAGCTCTCTTATGAACTTGTGCGGTAAGAGAAGTTTGATAAAGCAACAGATACAAGCTTTACTCACGTTGGTGTAGCCGGTTACCGCCGCTTCTGGTGCGTTGGGTTTCTTTTCGTTGCCGCTGGTACTGACGGATGGCCGCTGGGGGACACTCACTCGCTATTATTTGATTTGATGATCACCAGTTTTGAATTTGCATAAATCTAAACTGCCTGCTGAGTGAGTCTCATTTTCTATTTGCATTCTTCTTTATATTTCAAATAAGCGTCGAGGTATTATCTTTTAAATAAATCACTACTAATCCACTCTACAGCAAATGATTTCCTTATTTCAAATAACGTCACCAATAGGGTATTTGACAGTGTTAAAAATAAAGTGCCAATTGTTAGCATCTGTGTTTAGAATGACTATTGGCAGGGGTTTTTACTATTTTTACAAAAAAAAAATATTCATGATTTTACTAAAAACTAACGTTAAAGATAATAGTTTTCTTATCTATTGTCACGTGACCCAAAACGCTTGGGGTTGGCGGAGCCTAAAATGACGTCACACGCAAGTAAACTTCCGGTTAAAGTGACATTACATTGTATCGTTTGACGTTTTAATAACAGTCGTGTGACGTCACACACTAGTCTTACTAGTCATATTGTCCAGAGAAACGGTTTCGCGGCAACTTGAAAATGGAGTTTTTGATTTGGTTATTTTTACTGAAATACACAACAGAATGATGAATATCCACTTTTTACGGACTCCATAAACATTAGTCAATAACGTGGGATCGTTTTCTAAAACTTGTCAAATACCCTATTCCCACATTATATTTGATGTATACACGTAGTAAAGTTGCGTGCCCAAGGTCCACCCATGCCGTCCTGTTAGTACAAGCTCTTTTATTTGTCTTATGCACTTTATGTAATGTGTCTTTTGGGTCATCTGCGTTTTATATAAGTAAGTCGTATTTACACGGAGGCTGCGGTTTATTATTATTTAACTTTTTATATTTATTCGGGTCGGTGTTAGAGCATGGTCGAATTATTGTGTCTATATTTATGGTGTTGGTGTGACATCGTCTGACTATCCATATTACTATCTTTATACTTTTTAAATATCTCGCATATGTGACATATGTAGAGTAGCTTTTATAATAATTTTACGTTATATTTCAAAAGTATAAAGATGCTTCTATATTATATCACAATATTTTAATTTCTGTTAGAAACAGGCATACACATTAATGTAGTAATTAAATAGAGCTCTATGTATTTATGCGTAAGGTACAAAATGTGCTTTTGTTTTTATCGAGGGCTTATTATTTTTTGTTAAAGCAATTTAGTTTTGCTTAGCGATAGATATTTATCATTACATTCTACATTATATTATAAACACATTTAGTATATTACGCTTTTATATAACAGTTAATTATAAAGGATATAATACTCTATATAAAAAATAATTTTCCTTATTTCTTAATTTTAATATTATGCTAGTGAATAAAACCACTAATCTTAGATAAGTAACTAAAAAGTGGTTCAGGTAATTTAATTAGCTATATTAAATAGTATTTACAGAGAGTACTGCACTTTTATTTTATTTAAATGTATACATTTGTTATATTTGAATATTATACTGGCTTTGATATTGTCGTCATAGTTTTTAAATGTTCGTATTTGTACTTCATGTTTTTTGTGATACGAAAATTGATTTTCTTTCTTGAAAGGTATAATTTATGTTGTATTTCAAATATTTACCGTTTAAGAGAATAACGGATTTTAGTAGAATGGTCAATTCGGTCTCTTATATTTAAATTTTCCCGCGAAAAGACTTCGTCGTAGACAACACAGCCCAAAATAGATATTCTAACAAGTAATTTTCGTCCGTTCATGCGTATGTCAGAAAGTAAAGTACTGTCGTATTTAATGTTGCGTTTCCACTAAGCGTTCAGAGCGGTTTTGAGTGAGCAAACAAAATGGAATACTCGAAAGAATGTGACATGGTTCCCATTGATAATTGAGCAAAAGAGCATTCGTTCGTTGATTCACTCAGAATTGTTCTGAGCTTCACTCTCAGAACGCAGCATTACGATGACATCAACACGTTATAGGTTTAGAAATGGGATGGAACTTGATAATGATATCGATATTTCCATACAGAATCGGGCTATTAAATATTTCGAAGTTAATATGTTCTCTTTAACTTACATAACTTACCCTTTAGGTACTTAGGTCAGAATAATATTTTTAAATGTTTTTAGTTCGATAGTAATATTCCCCGTTCATAACTTATATTATTACCAACACTGCACAAGGTTTTTATCTCATCTAATGTTGCTACTAATATGTCAGGCACTTTTGTTCCCTTTACATAGGTAATATGTGTTCCAGCTAAGTATTAGAAATAAAATCATCATTTACAAAATTAATAATGTGGTTTACTGTTTTGTACACAATCAATATTGAACGTTGAAAACAAGCAACGTCTATTAATGAATTTTGTAATTCACCCATATTAGTTATCCAAGCAATATTATAGGTTAACCGCTTAACTGAGATCTCGCCTGCGGGGTACAGGGTGTGGGGGAGGACGACAACGGGGACTTTGAGAGGTGCGGGCGGCGGGCGCTTGTAATTTTGACAAGAATGTGCCTGCCGTCTGTACCTCTCCAGGCCCCGTTGTCGTCCTCCCCCACACCCTGTACCCCGCAGGCGAGGACTCAGTTAAGCAGTCCTATAAAAAATTATAGCGCAATACTAGTGACGTAATAAAAAGCCGTACGCTGTTGGTAATAATGTAATATGGTAATGAATAGGAGAGCACGATTCCACGCGAAGAAAAATGGGCTATGTTGTGAACGACTGTAATTCTAGACTTTGGCCGATTTCAGTAACTATATTTCAAATCGATTCTTTAATTTTCAATTAATTCAATTGTTGAAATGCTAACGTAGAGATAGGATAAGGTAGAAAGAGAGAGAGATATGGGGGTGGCGGGGTCGGTTTATATAACGTGGTGCGTGGGGGCTGTGCAGACTCGGGGCTGGGGCGCGCCACCCCGCCGCGGCGCGCCGCCTCGCCCGGCCTGCGGGGCCAGTCGGGGCCCGGCTCCCTGCCCGGCGCCATCGGGAAGCGGCGCCAGCACGACGACTGCTCCGACGTGTCCTCCACGCACTCCTCCATCATGGACTACTCCGGTGAGTGCCCGGCCTGCGGGGCCAGTCGGGGCCCGGCTCCCTGCCCGGCGCCATCGGGAAGCGGCGCCAGCACGACGACTGCTCCGACGTGTCCTCCACGCACTCCTCCATCATGGACTACTCCGGTGAGTGCCCGGCCTGCGGGGCCAGTCGGGGCCCGGCTCCCTGCCCGGCGCCATCGGGAAGCGGCGCCAGCACGACGACTGCTCCGACGTGTCCTCCACGCACTCCTCCATCATGGACTACTCCGGTGAGTGCCCGGCCTGCGGGGCCAGTACGTACGCATATACGTGTATGTACTTAAGCCACGCCTCCGAAGCCACGAGAGAAGCAGTGATGTTGTAAATAAAAAACCAGGTATGCCTCAATTTCACTAAAAGACTGAATAGATTAATAAAGCGCGCACATACCGTTATTTTTTCAAGTCTAGGTTCCAAAGTGGATCTGAAATATCATGAATTAAATATATGCGCTTTAAAAGCGCAATTTAATGGTAATGTACTATCTGATTATCTAAAGACTACAAAATCGTATAAGGTAAAAACGCAGGCTTCTAAGTGAGGGCATATTGATCAAGACGCAGAATACGAGGTGAGTGTCACAGATCAAATGTAACTAAGGCATATTAGGCTAAAAAGGTGAAAAAAACTTACGCATCTTCCTAAGAAATATAGTCTTGAATTGTTAAAACGATGCGAAACCATAAATATTTGTTAATGAGCCGTATTGTACTATATAAAAAGACTAAATTATACACAACCTTTGGCGGTAGTCTGATTAAGTATGACGCTGCAACTACCCTTGGATTAGATTTCAGCAAATAAAAGAATATTAAATATATTGAGAGTTACGCAAAAAAACTATGTTGCTGATTAATAATGTTGGAACACAGAATAAAAGGATGTTTCTCCTTTCCTTAGCTGACTGCCAAGGTCGACGCAAAGGTCTTTATTAAATCATTTCTGTAGATAACCAGCTAGCACAACACACTGACCACTGATAATGTTAAGCGATGTCATGCCAACACGACGTTAAATTTGAACGTTACACATTAAATCGATTCTAGTTTAGTTATACTCGTAAACTAATTAATTTTATGTTTAAGGCATGGTTTTTGATGTTATTTGAAAGCATCTTTTCCTAACAAACATTTTTGCATTATGATGCCGCTAACTGACAAGCTTAAACACAGTTTTTATTACTTACCACCACCTTGTTTCACACTGATCATTCTATTATTGAGATATTTTTGCATTAAGCATTCACTGACATTTTGTACACAACTCCAGCATCCATATTACTTAGATTTAGGAACGGGTATGAGCTGTTATAAAAATGATCATTCCATCACGCCGACATCACTGTCACAATTAAATCATTGTGACCGGTGCCTGTTTATTTTAAAGTTCAAGACCTTGGCTTACATTGTTGACACGATAAGGATCGTAGCTCGATTCATACCAAGACGGCAGGGGTTGTCAGTGAGCAGTACCCTCATATTACAAAGGCGCTATTACGAAACTTACTTAATTTGTATTAATTGATATTGGTGTCAATTCTGGCGTGATTCTCTAAACTTAAAACTAAATTTAACATCAGTCTCTCCTTTTCATTCTGTATAGAGAATGAAAAGGACACACCGTTGTCAAATTTAAGTTTAGATTAAGAGAATCGTGCCAGAATCGACACCATTAACGTTATTTTAATTCGTTTGAATCCTCGATGGCTACTCAAGTCTTCTCGGTGTAAATGGAGCTTGGACAATCTTTTACACATAGTATCGTTATACCAACTCAAGTTGCACGAGTGCACGTAAACTTGCGCAACAGAAAAATCCGCACGGGTCACGCGAAAGACACAAGTTAAAAAAAAAACGCTACATTTCTAGGACCCCATCTATACAAACGCTACATTTCTAGGACCCTGTCTATACAAACGCTACAATTCTAGGACCCCGTCTATACAAACGCTACATTTCTAGGACCCCGTCTATACAAGCAGCCGACGACAAAATCTAATCGCGGCATAATGTTGAACGCGGTGGAGTACTGCGTGTTCCCGGGCGCGGTGAACGCGGAGGCGAAGCGAAGAGTGCTGGAGGAGATCGCGCGCAGCGAGAGCAAACACTTCCTAGTGTTGTTCCGCGACGCCGGCTGCCAGTTCCGAGCGCTGTACTCCTACTGTCCCGACTCCGACCAGGTCGCCAAGCTCTACGGCACCGGCCCTAAGAATGTCAACGACAGAATGTTCGATAAGTTCTTCAAGTGAGTATGACTTTTTTTCACGTTCTCGTTCTTATGGTATCCATACACACTACGAGAAATCGTTACGATCAGACTGTACAGTTCGAATGGAACAGTTTATCGTACGTGGCGTACGTATAGGAAACTGTGCAGTTTTATAACATACACACTACGATTTATCGGTACCGTTCGGACGGTACAGTCTAATCGTAACGATTTCTCGTAGTGTGTATAGCTACCATTAATTCACACCGCAATGGAGCTTTGATTCCTCCCAAGAATGGGGAAGAAAACTGCCGATTTATCCCGCCAGAGGCGCTGTTGTCTAATGTCCCTAAGCAACAAATCGAGACAGCTCTCAAAGTCGTAAGGAAAACTGACAAATACGATAGACTTGGGAGCGTTCTCCATGTGCAACAAATGCCAAATTTGACATAAGTTTTATACAGTTTGTGTAAAAATTTTAATATCAGGGTAGAAGTTGCATTCGGAGCGTAAGTTAAGAACGTAGCCTTGAAGTGTCAGGTTGCTTGTTATGGGCCAAACAGCCAAAGCGCATTTGCAGCTGCGTTCGGTATTTGCATCGCAGAGGAGGCGTATTTATGGTCACGTGATTATGTTAATAGAAAACAAACGGCCCGACCAACCGTACATTTATTTCTAACCTCGAACAAAAACTAATCTCACAACATGACATATACATGACTGTTCCGTAGCGTAACAGATTTTTTTAATAAAGCAACACATATTGGAAGATTGTATTTTTTTCTTTTTTTTTATTTATGTATGGGGTAGGTGACAAACCGTATTTTCGTTCTGAGCCTACCACTGTGCCTTGTGTGTTGGTACGACTTTACGGCCGACGCCGGCACCAATGTGCGAGTAGTTCACTTCGAGTCCCCGACGTGTAAGCAGCTATCAACAGCTCTAAACGAATTTCCGTTACATCAAGTGAGAGTACCCATTTTCTCTGGAAGATATCGTGAACCTTCTGACCTGTGGACTCCTATGTGCGATACATTGCCGGCAATAGTTTCCCAAGAGCGTTGACGAACCCCGTTCTGAAGCCTAGCCCTAGGTACCCGTGGCGGTGTAAGGAGCGTTTGCGGTAAGTCGCCGAACCCCGGCTTTTATCATACATAAATTTCTTTGATCCGTTCGAACCGGATTGATATCTTCCAATTGTGTTGTTTTACAGTATTACGTACTTTCTACAACTTATTTTCAAATACGACAAATTCGAATCAGCCATCTTTGTTACGCAAAATGTCTGTCGAAGAATCGCCGTGTGAACAAGATTTGTTCGAAAGGGAACTCATCCTTGATGATTTAAAACGCACTCTCCAGTTCGCAGCGACAGATGTTCAACAATTTCGCTCGCGAACTACAGATTTAAATTCTCATCAACGTAAATTTAATAAAATACAGTCCAAAATTGAAAAAACCTACATGAAATTAAAAACATTTAACAAGGAGGAACAGATTAAGATTCGTAACGATTTTAACGATCTTTACTACGCCATTATTACGCATTTAAATAATTTAAAGATGATGGATGAGGAGCAGCGACGCATGAGTCGTCCGTTATTATCACCGTTAATTCAACCACAAGTTCATAGCAAAAATTTACCTACCTTGCCTTTGCCTAATTTCTATGGTGACCCTACCGATTGGCCATCATATTTTGATTTATTTCGTTCTTTAGTCCTATATATATCCTATATATGGATAACCAGATTAATCTTTCTCGTCAATCAAGTCAATCAAGCAAGCAGATTTACATCAGGACTGATTTGAGCGGAATTACGGAATGGTTCAGACTAAAAAAAATTAACAGACGCACAGAACACAGAAAAAGGTTAGAAGGGCCTTGTGGGCGTGGCAGGCGCGCCACAGATATGAGCAAATGCTCATAACTTGACCTGAACTTGCGATCGTGTCGTTTAGTTGCTCGCGAACCCTTGGTGAGAGAGTATTGTGATAAACGCTGAGAATAATCCTTCTTATGCTGTAATTACTTACAAAGTTAGGATTCAAGTATCAAATCTGCCTCAAAGAGAGAACTTTCTTTTCACCAGTTAAAGTGCATCCGTCCGGTTAGCGGAGGGTGCGGGTTCGATTCCCGTCTGTACCTGATCCACGTAGATTATTTTCTAGTATTTTTTTATATTTAAACATCTAGCAGTTATTTGCTTAAAATATATAAAAAATACAATGATTTAAATTCAGTAAATAAGTATCTGTAGTAAAGTGTTAAACATTATTTTTGATCACTATATTTATATACCATATTGAAAAAAAACTTAGAAAAGGAAACAAAGCGATAACTTTTAAATAAATAGGTATACATTGTTTTCAGGCCAATCAATAAGTATCTATAGTCAAGTGTTTTAATTAAAATACCTACCGTGAGTGAGGGTTACTTTAGCTCGGGCGGGTAACTTTGTCCCAAATCAGAAAAAATATTGAACTTGCCGCCCCATCAGTATCAAATTCAAATTCAAATTCAAACTCATTTATTCAGTCTAGGCTGTTACAAGCTCTTGTGAAAGTCAAACGCTACGCCATCGGTTCGTAAATCTACGGCGGGAGACCTTGTACTGAGAAGAACCGGCAAGAAACTCAGCAAGGGCTATTTTTTTCTCCCTGTTTTGTTTCACACAGTGTCGTCAATTGAAAGATGACATCAAAAATTGAATACATGTGTTGATGTCAACTTCCATCACATTAATATTATTAATTAACAAAAGTTAAGTATAACTAGGTACTATTTTTAAATTTAGAAGTGGCGATTAAACAATTTTCAACCAAATTAGCAAAGTAAAAAGACAGTCTATTATGTTAAGCCCAAGGTGACTTATCATTTATGAAATCTTTTACAGTATAGTAACCTTTCTTAAGGAGACATGTTTTTATACACACTTTAAACTTATTAAAAGGTAAATTAATTATTTCTTTTGGTATTTTATTATAGTAACATATACCTTGACCCACAAATGAACCAAGAACCTTTTGGAGTCTCAATGGTGGCAATTTGAGTTTATCTTTATTTCTGGTATAGAAATTATGTACATCATCGCGCCTCGTATATAAATTTATGTTCTGACGCACAAACAATATACAATTGTAAATGTATTGAGAGGCAACAGTCATTATACCTATTTCTTTAAATTTATCCCTAAGAGAAGTTCGAGATCCCAAGCGGTAAATGGCTCTTATAGCTCGTTTTTGAAGAATAAAAACTGTTTCAATGTCTGCGGCCGTGCCCCATAATAGAATGCCATATGACATAATGCTGTGAAAGTAGCTGAAGTATATTGTCCTAGCAGTGTCGACATCTGTAAGCCGTCTTATTTTATAAATTGCATAAGCAGCAGAACTTAGTTTACCGGCTAGTGTTGTAATGTGAGGGTTCCATTGAAGTTTGTGGTCTAGTGTTACGCCTAAGAAAACGGTTGTATCGACTAAAATTAGTTTTTCACCATTTAGAATTATATCCCCCATTTCAACATGCTTTACATTCGGCAAAGTAAATTTCACACATTTAGTTTTGCTCGCATTCAGTTTAAGATTATTAGAAGAGAACCAGTGAAGTACCTTGGAAAGTGCATTGTTTACATCGTCATAATTTGTTTTACACCTGTCAACGTTAAAAATTAGCGAGGTGTCATCTGCAAACAAAACAATTTCACAAAAAATTTCTACAAAGAAAGGTAAATCATTAATGTAAATTAAAAAAAGAAATGGACCTAAAATTGAACCCTGAGGAACGCCTATTTTCACATGAGATCCGGCTGATTTTGTACCGTTAATATCAACTATTTGTGTCCTTTCTGTTAAATATGATTGCACTAATTTTTGTGCGGAATCTTTTATGCCGTAATGATTTAATTTCCGTAACAAAGTTTGATGATTAACGCAATCAAACGCTTTAGATAAATCGCAGAAAACCCCAAGAGCATTCTGCGACTTTTCCCAAGCATTAAATATATATTTTAGCATAGTGGCCCCAGCATCAGTCGTGGAACGGTTTTTAGTGAAACCGTACTGCGCTCTGTGTAACAGTTTATTAATGTTAAAATGAGTCAACAATTGTTCTAACATTATTTTTTCAAAGATTTTACTCAATGCTGGTAATATAGATATTGGCCTATAGTTGCTAGGATCTTTACAATTTCCAGACTTAAATAAAGGTATGATTTTACTGAATTTCATAAGATCAGGGAATACTCCCTGATCTATACATGAATTAAAAATATCAGCTAGGTAAGGGGCTATAGAATGTATAATATTATTTATGACTTTGACAGATATACCCCATAAATCAGATGCATTTTTCATTTTTAATGAATGGAAAACTTTAATTATTTTAAAAGAACTAACGTGCTTGAAATTAAATAATAAACCACACGGAGGTACATATTTTTGTAACAGAGCTGTAGCAGTATCAGACGATGAGTCCAAGTTGGAAGTAGTTTCTAATGGTATATTCATAAAAAAATTATCGAAAATATCTCTTGGGTGACCGTAATAGTTCCAGTTGAAAATGACAGATAGCCATATAGGCGCGCAGTGTAGTGTTGTTTTACCGACATCGTTCCTGTATCAACCTGTCATTGTAACGCGGGATTTTTTGTAACTGAAATAGTTCGCAAGTTCATGCGCAAACTTTCTCAAAACTGTGGTTTTCGGTGAGTTTACAATTTTTTCTTTAACTTAATTATTTTTGGGTAAAAACATCCATTTGTGTATACAATATGCTATTGGTGATCTGTTATAAGGGTTACTTAACCCCAACATGGCTTAAAATGAGTTTTTTTCACAGAGAAAACTCAACGAGCTAAAGTAACCCTCTTTAAGGCCAACTTTGGCCCAAAATTAAAAAAAAAATATTTATGAACCCTTAAATATTATTTTTTCCTATTTTCGTATGATAACTTTGTAACTTATACTTTAAAGTTCACAATGGAAAGATATAAACGTGACATATTCATCACAAAGAGAAGCTACAATTTTATTTGAAAAAAAAAGTGCACATTTTAGGTCAAAGTAACCCGCAGTTACTTGGTATTTATAATTGTTTATAACTGCATGGCGTTCAGTTTTATTGTCTTTTATGACTTTGTTAGGATGCAAAAATTACCATTAAATCAAGATAAGTCCAACTCGCATTTTTAATATCGATAATATTTCATCGACTACCACAGTCAACCATTAGCGCAATCCATCGAACGAATCAGTACTCACACCGACTTGTGTGATCGCTGCTTCGTTGGACTGTTTTATGTCGCGTTGCTTGATTGGCTTATTATATACTAGCGGCCGCCCGCGACTTCTTACGCGTGGAGTTAGTTATTTGCACATACTTTTTGACCCCTGTTCACTGCTCGTTCCCCGTAAGTGATAGCCTGATAAATTGTAACCTATATGTTGACCAGACTTCTTAATAATATTCGTGCCAAATTTGAAGTTAATCCATGCAGTACTTTTTTAAATTATCCCGGACATATAAACAGACAAAAATTGTAAAAACTATATTTTTGGCTTCGGTATCGATTGTAGATCACACCCCAAGTATTCTTTTAAAAAAATATTCAATGTACAGTTTTGACTTTCCTACCATTTTATTATATGAATAGATTAGGTAGAAGTGATTTGGAAAAACCAGCGATATCTCTTACAAGCGGTCCCCTTCTAACCTCTTTCTATGTTCTGTGTACGTACGTATACGTATTTGGCGTTGGTTTGATCCAAGTACGTCATTGGTTCAATTGTCATTGTTCAGCCTATAGACTTTCAAATTACTTAGTCCATTTATCAACTTTGTAGAAAGAATTTGTTAAATACACAAAGTAACTGGAGCATTTTGTATTTCTCTCGCGTTTCTAGTCCACCACAAGGCACGGGAGGATTAAAATAAAAAATGTGATTGTTCCAGGTACAATTCGGGCAGCAAGTGTTTCTCCCAGGTGCACACGAAGCACTTGACTGTCACGATAGACGCGTTCACGATACACAATTCGCTGTGGCAGGGCAAGAAGGTGCAGCTGCCGAGCAAGAAGGACATGGCGCTTGTCATCTAACGCGTCCGCTCGACGCTACGTCGCTCGCGCTCGCCGCACGCGCCGGGCAAACGCAACCTTCGCGCGTTAGCGATAAGGATCGTTATCGCGCAACAAACTATTTTAATTTCTGTCCCTCTCTAGTTTTATACTCGTTGCGCTCGGAGTCGCAGCGAGCGCGGGCGCGTAGCTCCCCCCAACCCACGTTATCTAGTCGCCGGCAGTCGAGTCAAGCCTTTATCTTCGGCTAAACGCTACGGTAGGGCAATAGTGCCAGTGTCCATTATCGTTGTATTTAAAACTCGGTCAGTGCATTTCACGACGAGAGCTGTGTTACGTTTAATTGTGTCGTTCGCTTGTGTGAGGTGATAGAGCGCCCCGCCTCATCTAAAGTCATAAATCAATTAGTAGGCGTCGGGGGCGCCCGCGGTCGATCGGTGCCTGTGTCATAATGTACAGTTAGGATGCTATAGGTTGATGGTCGTAAGCTCGATTCGGGTCGAGCGTTTTATTTGCTGAAGCTTCGATCTGTTCCGTTAGGTTCGCCCGCGAGCAGTGTTGTCTGGGCTCGAGCGATCGGTCGCTCGCGCGCGAGTTATCGCTGCGTCGGTTCGATATTCGAATGGTGTTACTCAGTGTATAAACGCGATGTTTGCCATAATGTATTAGTGAGATGGTCGATACGTTCCAAATTGCTGAAAATGTCTCAAATGTAACAGCCAAACTGTCGGATGTATGTTCGTGTTAGGTACGTTTTTAAATTTAGTAATCTGTCCCTCACGTTATAAATTAACATGTTCACAAACTAATATCGCTTATTTGTTAATGTTAACTCGTTAGTGATTATTTCAATTTGACTGGAGTAATATTAAGGTGATTACGTATTCGTTTAACTGACCTTCATTCATTTAACGTTTTTTTACTGCTTGTATAGCTTAAAATAAGACAAGGCACATTTTACGTGGTAATTGTACTGCCTTATCCTGTAAATAATTGTTTTTGTATACAGCTATTTATTAAAAGAATGTTAAACGAGAATTGATGAATATCATTTTTTCATTGTTTAATGATTGGTCATCAATAATAAAATATACTACCGATAGTATATGGTATGCAAATATATTGTATTATTAAAAAGCATAACGAAATAATATTGAATTTCATATTACCGAGTTGTTTTATTTCAACGGGATTGCGAGGAGTCTGTATGAGTGAAATACGTTGCCAGAGTTTAATGTCGTTTATTTTTACACTGTCCACATTAATCTCAATACATTAATGTCGTTTATTTTTACACTGTCCACATTAATCTCAATACACTTATACAATAAATAATACAAATATTATAGAATTGTGACTAATTTGCGAATATTGTTACATGTAATATTTTTCGTGAAGTTCTAAAGACTAAAATATCAGTCTAACAGTTACTTTATACTTTCAGGTAGCATTCACGACAGATTATAATAAAAAACTAACTTATCATTTGTTCTATTATCACTTAATTATTAATCATAATCATCAAAATCAAAAATTGGCCACCAATCATTTTTATATTTAAAACATCTGTTCATTCTCATTTAATGGTATACATGCGGCGTTCTAAGTGAAATCTAATATGTTTAACCAATTGTCGAAAACAGCGCCATCTAGTGCATTCACCAAGCGCCAATTTACATACCCCATGGCGTAATGTTATAATAATTAATTACACTTTTATAAAAACAAAGTCACAATCGATCAATTTAAATTAACAATAAAAAAAGATCATAAAATTCGGTAAATAATACACATTGAGTCACTTTTTACTCAAGTAACAACGTGAGTTACTATTAAGAGATCGATAAATAATAAAAATTATCATAGAATTGCGTACTTAAAATCAATAAAACTTCCCAGTTGAATCTTTTGATCATTATATATAACAAAAACTGAAATCTTTATCCTTAAGGTCTGTACCGACTACACCGTATCATACCATGAACGTGCTAGGACCGTATCAAACACGGAAAGTGTCCCGATACGGCTTGCTATACCCACTGAAACGGATCGACGGCGTATGTTGCCTTTGCGTAATTTGTATGACGTCTCCACCAAAATCGATAGGAAGCAGTTTCATTCTTACATGTGTATGGGTAATGAATGGATGTCTGCGGAGCGCTATCAACTTTTAAATACAATAGGTATGGCTATTAAAAGATTAACTGTTAGACAACTGAATAAAACTAGTTTTTACGGTTTAATGCACGAAACTTTATTCATTTATTGACGTTTCGAAGGTAGCTCGACAAAATTAAATAAAATTTGATTCTGACGACGTAGCCTGTAAAGGCTACGAAACGTCAATAAATAAATAAAGTTTCGTGCATTAACCCGTAAAAACTAGTTTTATTTAATGAGTGATGTGCGTGAAAACCTAAGAAATAAATATGTTAGACAACTGGCAATCATTGCCATAATATTGAATGAGGAAGAAGAACAGAATCAAAAAACCATTGGACGCTACTGGAATCACGATTCTATAAAAGAACGAAAAACTGAAGGAGAATTTTGGACGTTGTATAAGCGCTTAGTTGAAGATATCGAAAAGTTCTTTCAGTACTTCCGGCGTTTAGGACGCCTATATAACGGTCATCATACGCGGTTCTAACCATAATAGGCATCGTTTTGTTGCCTGCGCGTATCGGTTTTGCATCGCCGCGTGCTATGCGCGGAGCGTATCGGCACCGGCAAAATATTCTTCCCGACAATGAGGGCTACCGTTTTCTGCCTCACCAGATGGCGCCACTGTTGAGTGAGGTCCTAAATTGTAACTTTTAAAGTTTATTAATACGCACATGAAATCAAAGGTTAGATTTAGATCGTATTTTAACACAAAAGAACCATATCCTAAACATAATAGGCCATGCCACGCAGTTCCGTTTTATTTGGAAAAAATGGGAACATAATCATTTTTCTAAGCTCAAATTTTTAATAACTGACATTCATTGCCACATAACTCATATTTGCCATAATTAAGCCGAATTGTTACCAACTATTCACAACATTATTTTAATAAGAAATAAACCCGCGTAGTCAACCAACAAGCAATAACATTTGACATTTCGGAGACCTCACGCTCATGGACATATAAAAAAAGGCGGACAGAGTTTCGGCTAAGACAATACTGAGGCACCGTAATGGCGGCGGCTATTGATGAGTGAGTAAATTGTAGGGTTGCTAGGTTAGCCAATTTTTTACCAATAAAACACAGTAAAAACATGAAAATATTTTGATTGTTCAAAATTTTACTTTTTGCCCGACTGCGGAGGATAATATTTTTCGAGCGTATGTATGCATGTATGTATGTCCAATAATTTGGCACGCCCTACAGCCTGAACGTCTTGACGGATTTTGATATGCGAGGTGTCATTTGATTTGTCGTGATTGTGTGAGTGGCACTCGGTATATTAAAATTTCAAAAAATCAAAATAACAGATTTTATGCGCCAAAATGAAACATTTTGAAAAAAAAAGTATAAGTATTTTTATAACCCGTCAAGCGAGGTATCAAAGTGAAGGGTTTTAAAGAATATTTAGAAAATTTACAACTCGTGTAATTAAAAAATAATGAAATTAAAATGTCGAAAATAAAAAAAAATGTACTAAAAAGAAAAAAACAAGTCCAGTAGTTTAGAATTCTGTTTAATAAGGAACAAAGTTACATTAACAGTCGGGACTCTTTAGAAATTCCAGAATGTATCGAATTTTCTCAATATTGGGTAAATCAACTAAATATACATGGCCTGGCCTGCAATCTCTTTCATATTTCCTAAAATAAACTAACACCCATTGAGTACTGTTTGTAATTGAGGAGTTCCATTGTTTTCCTCCGAAAGTACTCATCAGATCTCCAGTAAACTATTATGCAGCCATCTCGCTAGTAACCTGATTAAAACAAAAAAAGAATCATCATAAACGGTCCACGAATCTCGGAGATCTGCGCGAACAACAATAAAAAAAAACAAATATGACGCATTGCGAACCTCTTTCTTTTCGAAGTCGGTTAAAAATTTTAATCAACCTTTTGAGGTAATGCATACGTAATAACACGCCGGAGTCCTCCTTTAGTTGTATATAAGTCTTGAGCTTCAAAATGAAGACTAAAAATGACACCTACTACATATTTGTTTGGAAATCATTCATTTTCCAGTAATTTCTCCATACTACATTTTCTTTAGGAAATCTGATAAAAAAGAATAATAAATAATAGATTGAAGTTAATGTCAACCCAATTTCCCAAATTTTAGGTAATATGGTTACATGAACATTGGCAACACTGGGCTTTAGACTAATCATTTTGTCCTTAGAATTAAAATTGATTTCGCTTTCTATAAACTAGAAAAAAGTGATTCAATTATTCATTTACCTATGAAACGTGATTCCTGGATTTTTTTTCTTTCGGTCACTACGGTTTTTACACCTTTTTACAAGCAAGATATCTTGTTTAGCTTATTTTTTATCTCCACGTAACGTGTCGGCTGCTTTGACGTTTGCACGCGTAGTGGCTGACTATTGTGTGAATGTGTGCGTGCCGGCTTGTACGTACAGCGACCTGGCCGACTCTGAGCGACACAGTTTATTGTTTACCGGGACTCTGTCCGCCTTTTTTTATAAGTCCATGCTCACGCTACACTAGCGCCTCTAGCGGCGGATTCATACGCGATAGCCCTCATTGCATGGCACGCGACGGTGCTGGTTGGTGTCGGAACGGTCTAATGAGCATCGTCTCATAGTTTTCTGTACAAAGAATATTTTTGGAGTTTACTCCTTAAGATTCGATTTGCATATATAAGGGGCCCGGTATGAGAAAAATGTGAGGAGTGAAATCTATCGATGAATGACTACGTTACGTTTTTGATCCGCATATGTCGCGCAACTTTGACAAACAAAGATGACGGATTGACATTAATAATTTTTTTAAAATCTGAACTGAATTTAGATATTGTTTGAATAATTTTCATGTAGTATTTATTATTGTACGTAAAAGATTTAGTGGCATAATTATCTGTTTATAACCATTTTTGTTAATTATTAAGATAATATTATATTTTAAATAAAAAAATAATTATATGTAAACTCCAGTCGTGCGTCGGAGCTGACACACACAATTTTTTTTTGTCTGACACGTTCCGAATACGGTCATGTTATGAAACGGTGTAGTGTGGTAAAGACCTTTAAACATTTTCATTAAAATTATCATGTTCACTAAAGTTGGATGTTATATTATAATTAGCTAGCAGGTCTAACTTAAAAAGTTGAAAAAGATCCATTATAATTTTGCAACTTAATCAAGCTAATTTTAATAAGATGATTCAATCGAATGTCAATAAAAATACAGTGTAAATGCTTTAATAGTAATAGCGCTAGTACACTTGGTCGTTAGCCCGAATACGAGTGCCAATGGAATTCGGGCAAACGACTAATTGTAAATGAACGCGAGTACAATAGTCCGTATTCAGGTATAATGCGATTCAAATAAGAATAGGAAAGCCAATGACCTCCATCTGTCAAATGTCGCTTGAAAAGTACGGTTTGCAAAAAAACTCGAAACACTTTTTTAGCACTCAGCTGATTCTAGAATAAAAACCAAACATTTTTAAACAAACAATAACAAATGCTGATAATTAATATTATTTGTTTTTTTCTTTCACTTATTGAGTATTGGCTATGAATGGTTGATAACCTAAAACTTCAACCAAATGTCACTTTATGTTGCGTTTAGAAACTCGATTTAAAACTTTCGTTTACATATAGGATGCATGTTCGTATGTGACCTGCATGATTATTCATAACTTTTCCGGCGGTAATGCAAAGATGAGCGAAATTGAAGAGCTAGATTGTGATTAATGTTTTTGTTTCACACAGTCTTAATAAAGAAATACTATTAAAAATCGGTTGTGTTCTTTCTCAACCTTAGTAAATTAATTTTATTAAAAAATCTGATGTTTTGTCTCACTTAATCTTAGTAAATAAGTTTTATTGAATAGCGAAATTTTTTTGCACACTCTACCTATTTAGTTTGAATTGACAGCTATGACATCAAAATATGGCGCCCAGTCGGTCCTATTGTTAGTTGAATCGCATTATACATCTTTTTGTTC